AGGAATAGGGATGGCCTTCTACTAGAGTTACAGGCCAAAGTTCGCTGTTCGATATAAAGAGCTTCATGGCGGAAAACAGCAGGTAGAAAAGACAACGGTGAATTCCACCACCCTTCATCGACTATTTGTGAAGAAGCGTGACTATTTGTCTATTAAAAAAGAGGGTAACTAGGAATAGAATGATAATTTTGTTAAAAAAAAAAGTTATTTAAATTCTAAGAAGAGGCAAAGCTCGATATGTTACCAGGCCATTGAAGGCCACAGCATTGGTATAGCTGTTATTGACCAAAGAGCTGCTCCGAAATTGTCGCCAAGACTAGAAGTCATTTTGATGAATTCCAAGGAGCTATCGTAAGGAAATGCCTGTAAGATGAGGCAAAGCGAAGATATACGAAAGCCTACAGTTAAACTTTAATTATTCAAGATATTCTCAAAGATGCGTAAGCAGGGCGTTAGCAAAGCGAGATCCGTTGTTTGATATATTTACCGAACTAACTTTTACGTTACCGGGGCATTGTCCATGTATTAGAATTGTCCAGCAAGGAGTGCTTAATTGTTCAAAATTTGACCATATAGGACCAGGCATGTCCAGGCTTTCAGTCTTGTTTCTTATCGATATGTGACGAATTTCAGCGTTTGCTTTGACAATTTTCCAATATGATACTGAATGAAAGCCAGGCTTGTCAGTATTAGTACGACAATCTAGGACAAGTGGTGAGTTTGCAAAGCAAGAACGAATGAAATAATGATTTCAGTGAGATCTTGATCCGCACAAGTATTATTCGTTTCTAAGCAAATTATAACGCATTATTATTACTTGAATTTATGAAAGTTCATGAAGAACTGCGAGTGTAGGTTGCTTTGCTCGTTTTCAATCTAAAAAAAGCTTCTGTTCATTAGTTCTATATATATATATATATATATATATATATATATATATATATATATATATATATATATATATATGAAGAACAATAGCAGAACGTCATTTTAGCTTAGCTAGCTCTATAAGACGTAACACTGACCGTCATACACCAGCGAGAACCCGGTGCTTTGGTATGTTGCAGGGTTGCAGGGCAACGTAGAGCTACTAAGCGAACAAACGGCTGAACCCCCTGAAGACAATGGGGGGGCCACAATCGTAGGTAATATTCATTACGTAAGATGCTTGATTTAATAGCGAGCGGGACGCTTCGTAGGAGGGCTTTATTGTAAGCAAGCATTAAACTGGATCGTCGCGCAGAAACGGGCAGACGACAGGAACCCTTAAGAAACGATGAAATGTCAGTATTTCGTGACATGGGGCGAGGTCCCCAACAAAATCGGCTTTGGGTATGCACCACCTTTAGAGGACGTCGTGTCAAAGTTAAGTGCATGGTGACAATAAGCGATGCTTCGGACCGGCTATAGTCCTACAGAAACAAGACGTTCATTCCGCTATTACTCAGGTTGTATGGAAAATATCTTTCATTTATTTATCGACCTGATAACAACTATTTGACGAAATCCACATTAATAATAATAATGCACATTTTTTTCAATATTTTACATCGTTATTCAATTTTGACGTCGAATTTCAATGAAGATTACTGGATCTTGAATGGTTTCAATGAAGATTAGCGGACTGTCGCACTAGTCGTTTTTGCGTAATGACACGGTAGTTCTATCATATGGTTTGCTGTGAAAATCGTCGTTCTTCCTCACTTCACTGAGTGATTGAACGAGGCCCCTACGTGTATATAATGGCCTTATAATGCACCATCGTTGAGCCTTGACTAGAACCAGTTAGATGCTTAATTCTTAGCGTTCCACTATCATAAACCAATCATAATTTATACATTTACTTATTTATTTTTACTGTGCAATAAACCTTTTTTAATTTAGTTTAAGTAAACGCTTGTACACAGAGCAAAAAACCTAGTATTATGAGGCTCAATTAAGGAAAAATATTTTTTTAACAACCAGCGAGTGATTCACTTGATCAGTAAATATATTCGCTAATAGAAAAGAAATGATACGACGTCATCACTCAAATATTCAGAGGCGAAAAAATGGCAAACGACTCAGTTACGTGGTTTTATAGGAAAACGTTTTTGCTATCTGTCGTCCAGCTTCTGAATATAGTAAGCCTTCACGTAGATGCTGCACACGACGTCACGCTTTAGACGTTTTCTGTCCGATTGGGGCTTAATCGAAGGAGTATAAGAGGCAATGACATCAGCCAGCCACAAGGGGGCGGCACTTGAAGAAAACAAATTCGAGTTCTACTCAATCACTATTAGAACAAACGTATTTAGCTAGAAGCTGTATATTCCATTTATCAGGAAGTTTCACAATATTCGTACTCCCTGCCTGGTTCAACTCCATATATATAGTCCAATGGTAACAAGTGTGCGACGACAAATTCATCAACAAGCTCTGCTCTATGCACACAACCCTCAAGATATACCCTCAACAAAATTAACTCATTAGCTACAAAGCGTGAGCCACTGAAATAGTGAAACTAGTTACGATCGTACGGAGACTCTAACAGATGCCATAAGTATTTTTCTAAAACTTCTCGTAAATACTAAGGCCCTAATCATTTTTGCTGTAATACAAGGACTGGACTGAAGAATTGATTTTACGCCAATGAGCATTAACTAAATGCCATTATAGTTTATATTATAGTTTTAATGCTGTTCTTAAAACGAATTTATTCTGCTCTTTCTAATATCAATACAGCAGTGTTGTTTTTATTGTCATACAGACTGCAACGTCCGTTTGTTGCCGTGTTCCTCAAAGCAGAACATGAGAATAGGGAGGTGCAATTCTTTTATGCATGGTCGTTAGGCGATGCTTTTTTCATTCAATAGTGCTAACGTCCGAGTGATTCTGATCATAGCATTGATGGAATTAGGCAATATGGATTGAATAAGTGGAAGGTTAAGCTTCGAGGTTTTATCTTCATCAGACACAGAAGGGTTAGTGTGTGGCATTTATATACGACATAACTCTACACCTGAAAATTCTGTGCTATACTTAAAATATTTAGGAAATAAATTGGCGTCGGGTACCTGTTCTGACGATATACAGTGTCTTATATATACTGAGAAGCGTGATGATGATGATGATTATAAGTATGATGATTTACTATTTACACTTTTCTAAATGTATTTGAAAGATTGATCATGTTAAACCCCGCGTATTATTATTATTAAAATGGTGAAAATGCACGAGTCTCTCTCACTCATAAATCGTTGTCACTATGTAACTTAATTTTTATTAAAACGTTTAATGAACCACTTCGGTGGTTAGTTTTAACCGCATAAAAAAATGAATGAGAAACAGTACCTTGAGAACTTGTCGATAGCCTCTACGGTTCTATGAATATGGACAAGTTCGTCCAGATCGAGGTTTTCTGTTTACGGGTTGTAACGCAGCCCTCTGTATAGTCTACGACAAATAGAGCAAAACAGTGATTTGAAAGGACGTGATTGGGTTTTGTTATGAGGTATGCAATTCATCGATCTACTGTAATAAGTTCCATACTTACCCGGAGTCGAATCATGAGCAATTGATAAGTAAGGCGTGTTATCTATTATCGCTACATTTTGTTCTTCGGGACTTGATTGGTCTGTTGGTGATTTTCCTTGGAAAGGAAATGACCGACTTGTTCGATATTGCTGGCTAAGCTATACGACGCCATTTTTGCTAAGCATCGAACGGGTGACATTCATATCTTGTTGTATCTAGAAAGTGTCCGTCTTACGCCGCTGCCCACATTAACCTCGTAACGCTATCGCAATAAAAGTATGAAGCAGTTAACAGACAAATAGCACGCTTGGACCATTGCAGATTATCAGGTACACGAGAAAGGGACGCGTGAATTGTTAGCATTGGTAATGAATGATTCGGCCATCCCGCATTGCGAACGACGTACCAACAAGCCTTTCGCTACGTTCTGATGTGGCCTCTCATTTATCGACAACACGACCACAGGCCGAAGCCTATTAAACTCATATAGATGCGCTGCTGAATAAGTCCCGCATACAACCACTAAACACAACAGACGCCCTACTGCCACTGACGCAGATTGTCCTTTGACTGTGTAATGTACGTATATTCCGTGTTTGCGAAGCTAGAATCTCACGCTAATATAAGAACGTATCGGGTAGGGGGCACTGCTGTTTCCTGTCTGCTATTCCTATCTGGATGATGTGTTGTAAATCGAAATGATCCTCCAGCCCCCGCAAACTAAGCAACAATAAATACAGCTGCATTTCAATTGAAGATAGAATAAATGGCTTGAGACAATGACAGGACGAACTGGGAGATTATAGATGCACATCGAACACGGTCTAATGAGGAAACGAACTAACTGCACGCATGTACAGGAGCGAAAATAGACGCACCACCTCAAACCAGAGCCCTACACCGCTTATACTACAGAATACCGTTTTTGTATCAAACAAAAAAAACAAAAAAAAAGGCTAACTGCGCCATATTGTTGAATATTCTACTTCTACTGGAAAGCAGCTCACATACTACAGGAATGATATGAAAGTATCGAAAGTAACACTCAAAACAACAAGGAATCTCGCATAGCAGTTGGTTAAAAATAGCAGATAGAAAAATAACGGAACTGTTCAATATTCATATCCAACGATAGTATACAAACAACGCCGCAATGATCCTGGCTTAAAAAAGTATAGAGAAAAGTCTCGCTTTTCTCGGCTAAACGCCGCTCCGTGATAGCCACGGGCCATTGAAAGCGTTCGATCTTGCGCTTTGCATTTGGCGCTTTGAAGTGGGTGACTTTCGATTGTATTTTGTGTTTTTAGAAAACGAAATAAAGGACCAATGAGCATGTGTTATATTTTTGTAAACTAGAAGCTCCAAGTGGAACCGATGACGCAGGAAGCTTTTGGGGATCAAGCTATGAATCATTACCGAGTGTACAAGTGGCACGAACGGTTTTGCGGCGGACGAGAAAGCATTGAAGGCTATCCTCGTTTCAGGCGACCAGTCACAGTGAGTACGGTCGAAAAACCTCGAAAAAGCAAAATCACTCATGGTGGAGGATGGTCGAGCCACTTTTAGAAGATTCGTAGAAGAGTCAGACATTTTACACCAGTTATGTCGGACCGTGTTGAAAGATAATTTCGAGGCAACAAGGCTTACAGCAAGAACTGTGCCGAAGGACCCGAATTCGGAGCAAATGCAGACCCATCAATCACTGTGTGACAGCTTAACGCACTCAAAAACCCGCTGGATTTGTTCCACCGCATCGTTACAGGTGAGGACTGGAAGAACTAAAAAATGTGATGAATTTTACGTCTGAGACATTTGTTAGTTTTTGCAGTCTTGAAGATAATTATTCAGCTCAATCGTAAGAACAAATTAGGTGATACACAGGCGTTAATTACCTCAAACGCGTCAACTGCGATTTTGCATAACTGAAGCATTTGTCTTTCATACAGAACCGATGTCTCAATGCATCCAATATAGTAGATGATTTTCTTCACTATCTCTATCGGGAATCTTCACTATAGGGTTTCCTTTTTTTGGTTACACAATCTTAATGAACTCAATCGCAGGTTTTTGTTTTTGAAACAAAATACGAAACCAGCCAGGTTCATTCATGGTAATGTCGCTGGCGATATTGCTATCACACCTTAGAGGCCATACTCCACCGCATAGTCCGCTTTATTTTGTACTACTAGTATCTAGTCTTCATATTGATTCATAGAGCATCGGCTGAAACTTTATTATGGGTAACTGTAACCTTAATTGTCTGTGCCTGTCCCTATTACCTTCCCCACTAAACTATAGTGATCGAAATCATAACGTTTGTAAAATTTCTTTTGTGCTTGCTCCCCGGTATAAGCTTAATTAAGTTACTTATAGGCCCTTGTTTTACTATCCCATTTGAGACTTCACTGAATATATATGTAAACTTGATGGATTGCCTTATTCGGTAATGGCGGCGTCTACAGCAGCAAGCTTCTTGATATTCTAAAACGGGTGGCAAAAGATAGTTAAAGGCAGATAACGGATGGCCAGCATCTCTCATAAAATTTATTTATAAATCTATAAAGCGACTATGATTGCGAAGTTACCACAGCACCCATTGCGAAGGGCAACGATCTGCCCGATAAATACCCATTCTCCTTGCGCATCGAACGAAATGTATCAGCATCGACCTTCTTCGCCTCGTTCTAAACACTTTCATTACGTTCTTCGATACATACATACATACATACATACATACAAAAAAGCAACGTGCATAGGTTCATTTCCTCTCGAGCCACTGCTTTACCCACCTTCAATGAAACAAGCGTACATTCAAAAAGAAGCATTTTGACACGTCCATGGTCAGTTAATCTGTCTAACCGCCCACAAATCCCGTAGTTCACGCTGGCCTCAGCCTACGCTCGTTGCATATTGGCTGGGGTTTGTCAAACACCAACCCTGCCAGATCGGAGTCGCTTTATCTATTATCACCCCGTCGCTGCTACAGGCACACAAAGCTACCTTTCACCCGTGATACTTAAGCACCCCTAATTCGCATCGCCGACTGAAACTGCCTCCAAACTTGTTTGTAGTCTCCCGATCAGAATAAACTGATGTGTCTTTGTAAGTGTCATTTGTATCGTGTGTATACTTTAGTGAACCTGTGCGCCATTGCTACTTAGCGACCACTATCATTACCACCGCTAGCTAGCCATTGCAAGGTGGAATGCTGCTCCCTCTTCCCTCATCCAATATCAGCCTTGCAATGTATTTATTCATTGTGACTTATCAGCGTTATCAGCACATTTGGCCACAGGGTCGGATGTGTAAGAGGCAGTGTAAAGATGCAACGAAGGCTTGGGAGAAGTCAGGGAAGCCTAAATACAGCTACTCGTATGTGCAAAGCACTCCGACTAGGACATCGAGCAAGGGAGACACAGAAAAACGAAAAAGATGAAGATGACAGATGATAAGAGATAGTAGGGGACGCAACGGTGGGGACCAGAGTAGAAAGAGATTTGAGATTGAAAACCAGCCGATCATAGCGGCAGCCGTGTGCGCGAGGTCCCTGTTCCGAAGATCGAGGAACAGCATTAGAAGAACAGTAAGGAGGAGGAGAATTGGACAGACGGCCAGTGCACGCATGAAGACTATATGAGTGGGTGCACGAGGATAACGTTCGCTTCGTTTGGTTTGTCTGAGTGGCAGACGGAGATTCAGGCAAACGCCAATCCGACATGTGGCAGTACAACGTCTGCTCTTGGGTTACATATCGCTACGCCCGTCTCACCAGCCAGACGCAGGCGCACGCCAGCAGGTGGAAGAAACAATCACTTCGAATGCCATATACACACCCTACTGAGCTACTGGCAGCAAACAGGAGCTAGAATTTGCAATAGCAGCCACCTCAACCATAGCAAACGCTGAGAAGCGCAGAGGGGGTGATTGTAATCGCGGTCGTTCTTTACAGAGATATCCGGCCAGGAGGATAAGCTGCCTAATATCAAAGATTTGTCAGCCCTTCTGAGATGGTTGCGGTCGTCAGCGCCAGCATCACTGAACCTGAATTGGCCGTTTTTTGATACGAAAGTGATCCGAGTCGACTACATCTGTAGGAAATGTATTTACAATATGGACGATTTTCAGTTTCGCTCTTGCGGTTACTCGATAGGTATTGTCCTTATCTTGCAGACTATTTTCTACTACGGTAATAGGGTTTAACAATAATAGCAACAACTGTAATAAATGATAATGAATGGAAAGGCATGGAGAGAGGGTGGTGAAACAACACAAGCGGCCTGAATTTTCTCTAGGGTCCAGGTGTCGCAATCAGGTTTTGTCTTTGAAATTTTATATATTTGAGAGATAGATACAAATTCCATTACTCCGTGCAACTAATGATTGTATAATCGTATATCTTTGTATAGGCAATTTTCATTACGGCTGAACTCGCCATTGACTATCAGGACAGACTTTGTAGTCTAATACACTGGAAAACGCTACGCTTTCATTGTTATTGCCGCTTTCAGAGCGACAGGAAGATTTTGTGATGTTCATATTACAACATTATTATTAATACGTATTAATGAAGGCGTCATTGAGGGGTGAATCCATAGAGTTCTGGCTGTTGTCATTTGTTAAGAATCAAATTGGAAATTTATCTTCAAACGAAGTGCTCCAATTCACTCTTAGCCTTTGGCTTCTATATTAGTACTACTGGATTAGTGACAAACACAACGTATCTCTAGTCATGTTCATGTACAAACCCTGTTGGCTTTTTAGCAGCTTATCGCGATTGATTGGATCGATCCGCAGGCCATTTGACTGCTAGCCTGTGTTGACTTTCGCGAGTTCGTATCTTTCGTTGCTCGGCGCCTACACGCTGCCCTTGGATCATCCAATAGAGTACCCAATGAACAGTTTTCATTGACATTAGTGACCAAGACGGAAGTCGTTTCTCTCGTCACGACGAAACCTTTCTCGTCAAAAAAAAAAAGTCATTTTCTAATGGCATACGGGGCGGATTACGGCAAACCTACCACAAGATTATATAATCAAAGGTAGTCAACACTTCCTGTTTAAGATTCAGAAAGGGTCCGATGCACGCATAATACACATAGTTGGTAGTCATACAGAAAGTGTTACGATGATTGTAATAACATTAATTAGTTCGATTTGCTGATATAAAAAGAAAATATGTTTATCCCGGTTGCGTTAAACGCAGGTAACCATCCTCGTTTACCCCTCCAGTATTCACCCTATCGTTGTGTAATAACTACTATATATACCTATCCGTACAGGTGGGTCAGTCAGTACTTCAGGCCCACATTTGTGCCTCGTTTCTTGCTAGATGTTCTTATCTAATACAATATCCGTCAAAACGCGAAAGAGACCAGATTAAATCTGCATATTCGAATAAGAAGAGTGAAATGAAATTGATCAACTTAATAATGCAGTTCTCCCAGACAGCTCTCGCATAGCAGTCAACCCTTATATAATCTGAAAGCATCTGATGGAAGCCCCCTTCTTGTTTTTGCATCTGGCAAAAGATCACTTTTCAAAGGAGAGATGGTCTGCGACGGCGATGGCATATGTTCGAACCGTTTTCCTTTCGGTGCATTACCTTCAACGGTCGGCACTACACTCGGGTGACTGCTCGCCCGCCCAGCATGATGTCTCCTGATCATGCTCCTTGCTACGTATACTACAAGGGGCGTGAGTGGATGAGTGACTGAGCAACCGAGTAAAATCTGAAGGAGACGAATTCGAAGAACCGACAGGCCCCTGTCGAATACTGCGCAGTTTGCAGTTGCTCAATCTAATCAGCACGATCATGCGCTGTATATATCTATATATGGGGCGAACAGTGTTGACGAGATGTCGACTCGACAAGTGTTGTCGCTAAATTCAGTACAGCTGTGCTGAACTTCAAGGCCTGGCGGCTAAATTCGCTTACGCGGCGGGGTGCCGTTGCTATCGTAGATAGTGAGGCAAATGCAAGAAGAAGATGCAGCAGCAGTAGCAGCAGCTGCTGGTTACTGTCATTTTTCGCTTGATTTTCATACTCGCCCTCGACTGACACAGCTCTATGTGGATAAACGTTGTCCGTTAGTCTTCACCGGCTAACACTTCTGGGCAGGAAGTATTTCGAAAAATAGGCGTGTTTAGAAGAAGCGGCATGTTCTTTGTGTTTGCTTTCCCGAAGCAGTCATTTATGCGACCATTTAAAATTAGCTTTCATAGGTTCCTCAAGAGGAAAGTAAAAAATGACTTTTGCAACATTCGATAATTTATTAGTACACTTTCTATGGCTTGTTCGCGTTCTCCAATGGGTAACCGATAGCCTTCACACGATGTGCTTCACGTACTTTCATAATTTTGTAAGAGATAATAAAACTGGAGCTGGCAGGGATGAATCAATTGGTTTACAAGGTCAAGCAGGCAAGTAAAGGTAAAAGCACTCGTTTTAACTGAAATGGCGTTGTTTCGGTAGAATTACGTATATACGGTACAGAATTACTCGAATTACGCCTTGGATAGGAGTAGGATCACCGTATAAAGCAGAAAAGGTGACACATGCATTTTTTACGAAAAGACAGGCAAGAGCGACATATGTTCACGTTCGCACGGAGCATGTTCGCTGATCAAAAATATATAATTACTGAAGTAAGATTAAGGTCTTTTTTATTTCAATGTTTATTAAGTAAGGCACATCATCTAAATATTTTTGAATGAATCTGCAAAGAGCGACAGTGTCCCTTCTATTATAAATTGAACGAAACAGCAATTACAGCAATCAAATTGAAAATATTATGAAAACAGGGGTGATGATCTAGGCCTTAAAAAAGAGGTTATTTTAATTATGAAAATTGTTGGTAAGCTGGAATTATTAGCACGCGAGCGATGGACATTTGTATGGTTAAATACGGATACCGGGACCGAGAGCGGCTGCGGCCAGTCGATCCCGAGCTTAAATACTGATTCATTCTTTGTTTGCATATGTCCCGTAGCAGACATATGCACTAGGTGCTACCTGGCCTATTTCATTACTCTTTAAAAAAAACTGTTCGCATTCATCCGTTATTGTAGCCTCCGTAGCGACATTGTTCCTCGGTAGCTGACCGGGCATATTCGTACTGAAAGTCACCAGCCCTTTTTTAAAAAAAAACTTATGCTCTCTATTTATGTCGTTGTTTTGTTACAGTTTCTGCTTGTGTTCTTTCCTATCAGCGATTTTTTTTTCATTCTGTAATTAACATTTGTTATTATTCCGCTATTCATTATCTCAGGGTGAAACAAGTGAGTACGTAACATTAAAATCTCTATGTGCTTGGCATTTTTTTGTATGGACATGGATTAGAATTTCTGCGTCATCGACCCTATAACAATGACTAAGAAATTGCTTTTTTTTTCTAAAACCAAAGTTCGTTTATTGTATACAACAAGGTATAGGTATGTAACTTTTGTTTTCATTTTTTAATTTTCTTTTACTGTTCCCATAATATCCGAAAACCAATTTTGCTCAGGAGTTACATGAATGTCTATGGACAATCTTCGTGTTCCCTTTAGCGTTAAACCGATATTTTCCAAGGATGAAAGCGTTCTGCCGTTAGGCTAAGCTTGTGTGCGTCAAAACTAAAAAAATTAGAGCCTTAGTTAGAGCCTTGTTCAAGATGTTCGACTCGTACTGAAGGCACTATAGCACAGGATGACGACCGTTTAGTTTGGATCTAGAGACATTTAAATATAACGCTCAGCTAATTTCTTATAGGGTTAAATTATATAGTTTCGTGGAAAACTTAACATTTAAAAATGATAATATTATTGAATACGAAAGTTTACAGATCTAGCGAAATTGAGCGACGTTTTTCGGCGAACAAGGTGCTACTTACACACCTGCAGAGAGTATCGCTATTGCTCGAGGGCTTATCGCCTCGGTACTTCATGCAACGATTTTCGAGATAGGGACAAAGACTTCCCGCCTTGAACAAGAACGCACGATGTAACAAATTATAATTGCGATAAAAAGGACCAGGCTTGTTCTCCGAACGACCGACTTGTATCATTAACAATTGTTTTTACTGCAGAACATATACCGCTTCAGTGAACATACGCGAAAAGGCTAATCCTAGCAGTGCTTGTTGCTGCAATCGTGTTGTACAATGAAACGCAACGAACACAAGTCGATGGCGTTCAAATGTACTCCCAGACACGTCCCTGTCAAATTTGACATCACTGTAGCACCTCGGCATCCTAACCTCCGATCACGCTCTTGTCAAAGGCGGGGGTAAATATGGAAGCAAATAGCGCTAGCTCTATGGTGTCATGGTACGCACAAATACAGGGAAGAGAGAAGAGTAGAAGGACAGAACGAGGCTGAGCGAAGTAACATGATGAGGTGGCAGGAGACAAGGCCCAAGCTATAACATCCACCTTCGCTAGGCTTGCAGACAACTAACTGCCTGTAGCCGTATGGATAGCTTCGCGCAAGGAGGGGGGAGCTGCCAGAGGGGGCGGCGGTACCAGCGACGACGGTGGCGCCGGTGGACCAGAGCACCCCTCTTTTTCTTCAAGGTACACCTGGACTAGACTAGACTAGATACTCTCCGCCCCCGTGTACTGTATAGTCTCGAGTGGATGCCCTGGGGACACAGATTGAGCGATAAGAATTTTCCTCCTTCTAGCAACTGCGATAGCCTGAGTAGTGCGCTGATACTCTAGCGTCTAGCTAATCACAGGCTCGTATCACCGAAGTGATAGGTTGCGTAAGACTTAGGGCTCTAGGCATTAATCGAATTCCCTTGGGGCTGGAATCAAAGTTTATACACTGAAGGGAGTGAGTATTACGGCCCATCCGTAGTTGTTATTTCAATGAATTTGTCGTTGCCATCCTTATAAGCAAGAGCAGGTCTTACCTCCATTCTTCTATTTGACATATGATGTTTCTAGCGATGCTCTGGTATGAGCCTCTGTAGACCTATTTAGTATGTAATAAAGGTCTGTAGTAGAAATGCAGACCAGAAAATCGTTTTACTGATATACGCATTTAAGCCACATGAATTTTCGGTATGTCTGAGCATTACTTGATGATGATTCAGCTGCGTAAACAAACAAACAAACAACAAATCGGACGCGATCCTTGTGCAGAGGCTTATCGCTATTTTACTTTATAATACAGCTCTCCTTTGCTCAGTAGTGTGACGGCTGTGGGGTTCAGCTATCATAAAGTCTTCAGTTCTAAGTGGTTCTTTGCAGTTGTGAAATTTTCTTCTAAGAACCAGAACATTTACGGTACAATTTCACATAGAACATATGATACCGGAATACGTTTCAAAGACAAATCACCAATCCCAGATAGGCTTGCAGGCAATTTCTTTAGATTATTATATTACAGTTGCCGTTTATTTCAGCGATAGCATTTGTGACGGTACCACAACAGACATCAGTAGTTTTGTGCTTAACCTTTTGTTTTTTTTGAAGCATTCTGAACGGCTTCAGGCTCAAATTGTAATAACAGTAATACTAACATTCACCTAAATTGTCGTATATACTTACAATAATATTATTATTATTATTATCATCATCGTCATCAATGTTCAGGATATGTAATACCTTGTTTAAATGCTTTTCTTCTTGTTTAATGTTTATATGCAGACCTATTATTTCTTTGAGTCCACCTCTTCGCTTTTCGTTGTCACGTTTTGCAGGCATTGGTTCAGCAAGCGATCGGCGCCTCCGGTTAAGGATCCTCTCAACTGTTCATAAATCTGGATAAAAGCCCCCTGACAAGGGGTCTTCAGACGGTCAGAATGAACAAAACTGATGGATGGTATCATGGGTGCAGTCCAGGCCTCATTTTACCGATCATCAATGAGGGCGAATGGAATCAATATACACGGGCGTTTTTATATTTCGCCGGACTACTCTACTGTTTTCTGGGTAGGCTCACTTACATATCATCTCAGATTTAGGTATTCATAAGGACCACTATGGATTTCACGGCGCTTTAGATAAATAGTCTGAGCTACTTGGGAACGTGCATAATATTCCGCCGATTTTGATAAGCTTAGCTTCGACCTTACACATATGAATGCTTCAGCCAGAATTTTCAATCGAACTTCTTAAAGGAGAACGCTGTCAGAACTATAGATACGTTAAAATGAATGAACAAACAGCGTAGTACAGATCTCACTTCCGTCAACTTTAGTCAACAAGCTAGTTATGTTCGTCGTGACTCCAACGGAATGTTAATCTTGAGTCGTCGATAAGAACTCTCAAATAAGTTGGACTCTACATTTCTTTGTAGCATTTTTTTCTAGTCATTGCCTAAACCTAGTTGAAACAGAACCATCACGGACCGGATTGCCTACCTCACTCACCTTCGCTTATTCAACTATCTTGCACTTCCACTTTCCATTACCGCCGCTTCTAGTAGCTACTCTGCCGCTGCCATCGCTATCAGTCCTTGATTATCCTCTTGGACAGCCTCTTGCCACCCTGCTCTGATTCGTCCCCAGTAACCCCTTGCTCCCGTTCACTGCAAGCTTCTTGTGTTTTCTCCAGGAGTCCAGTGCTTCTCTTGTTTCTCTAGCCTAATGGTCCCTGCTTCGTACAACCTCTACGACCTGTATTACTATCGCATCTCGCCCCCATCTTCCATTGTTGTTCGTAACGATCCACGGCTACCATTCCAAGCCCCACATTGTCTGCGCTATTCTCTCTCCCTGTTTCAATTCCTATCCCGGTCCGGTGCCGTGTTCCCGCCCTCTCTAGCGCAGTCCCCCGTTCTTTCCTCTGCACTGAGATCATCTCCTCATCAAAGTGCACTCAATATGCTTTTAGCAGCACCACCACTACGAGGGGACTAGCAGCAGCAGCAGCAGCAGCCACAGACACAGACTAACGTTTCGTGCTTTTCTTCTTCTGCTGCCTCGTTTTGTTTCTGCCTATCCTCGTGTTTCCCTTGGCAACGTAACTGTCTTTTCTCTTTGCCCCACTCTTCAGTACACTCTGTAGAGCTTTTTCCAACAAGCATCCCGCATATCCCTTCAAAAGCCCCTGACCGTCCCTTTACATGGCCTCACCTTCCATACGCCCACAAGAATAGTAGCTCTTTTGAGCGCTGTGCAAGCGCAGCCAGCCACGACTTCTCCTTGACGGCCATCAAAAATAACCCCCGAGAAAGCGCCCAGGGGAGAGATGCCTGGGGAAGCCCAAAGTTGTCGAGCCGACTGACCCTGAAACCGGAAGCTTTTGAATGGAGAGCTGTTGGTCCTATTTTACACTTGGTCCAAAGCGCTAAAGCTTGTCGTACCGACTATTTCAGGGGGGTCATCTCCTTTGAATCATTGAAATGAGTGAACCTACTTGAGAGAGTAAATTCTGCGATGCCATAGACGAACACAGTGAATGGAAACAAAGCTGGTAGTGTTAGATGTGCAGATTGTGTCATTATCGATGCCGAATGCAACGCCACGACGTGTGGATTAACTCGAATGTAATACCCGCTAACGAAGAAAGCTAATCTTTCATCGCAGTGAATGTATTGCAAAAAGAAGTCAACCTAACCGTAACTATTTACCAGATATAAGGTTATCTCGTCTTTGACATAATCAGTGAATTGGTTTAAAACACATATAGAAAGAAAGGTGTTCCCTAACATCTCCAATATACCTAGAGAGGTATCCATAATAAACGATCGATGTAGGACTTCGGCATGGTAATTCAACATCATATGTTTGTTTGGCGATGAAGGCTTGGATATTAAGGGTAAATTATCAGGCATATTTAGTATCGACGATACTAGCTTTGCTTACAAATATAGACAACAAATATATTAAATATAGAAATAGTCGCCTTAAAACATTACCTATTTAATTCGGCAATAGAGACATGCTACAATCGACAAGTGAGCGCCCGTTATGATAAACCGATACGAAATCTTATGTGGAAAAGTTTCCCTGTCATACGTCTATGAAATTTGTTTGAATAGAGACATGCATTTAGAATTACAACCTGTTGTCTTGGTAGCGTAATGTAAATGTAGCACTATATAATCACTTGAGCATCAATTTCGCTTGGCTTCTGCATCGGTCAAGCGTACATCCTCATTTTTGTGTAGTTTCATGTCAATCGAGCAGACTCTCATGTGTACCCGAGCCTCGCCGTATCCGTCAACTCAACTCCGTCAGTTGTTTATAATCCCTTCAAATCACAAACGAACTATCTGTTGAGCAAATAGTCCGTCACCAACAGATTACAATCATTTACTTTGGCTGTATCATCTATCCCGTTCTGCCGTTCGCCCTCTGCATCGTCCACAGCCCCTCACTCTCACGCTTGGCTGTTCTCCCTTCTTCGCTGTGTTTTGCATACTATCCTGTTACTGCTGCCCCACGGAATACAATGACATAGATACGTGGTTCCCATGGATATCATGGCAAATCCAAGACACGTGCCAGGCAAAAGGGATATCTCCGATTGAAGATGTGCGGCTCTGTTTCCTTCTAGTGGGAGTCGCTTTCTTCATTTGGAGGACACTGGTCCACTCTATAAATATCTGGGGTCTATTGGCTCGTTGTCACGGTCGTTGATGTCAACGTCCGCGCGGACGACATCATATCCGTTACAGATCCAGAGCACGTGTGCCTTCTGTCTCCGTACCGAGGGCCTCTGCGGCCGTTACTGAGGTAACCGGCCAGCAGGATGTGAATGTGCATCACTCTATCACAATAATCAGAACACGTCTCGTCGTGTAATCGGGCTCATAATTTCAGCGGTGACAAGGTCCGTGTTCTAGGCGTGGACTCGATTCGTGTAAACCGTCGTGAAAATGTAACTTACATAAGATTCAACAGGATCTGTTTGTTTTTAACTGTAACTAGCTCTCAATAAACGTTAAGTAGCGGGCTTCTTGGTGGAAAGGCTGCAACCCCGTACGGCCAGTACCCCAAACCCCCATATTCAAGACAGTAACGTCTGTGACACGATAGGGATTGACGTTTTACGTATTACGATAGTTTCTCGCAAGTTTCACTAGGAGATAAAGATTCTGATTAAAGTGCATCAAGAAGGTACTGGAAAATTCAGCATGTGCGAATAGATGCAGTGCTCCAAAGACTTTCGTCGCATATATATACGCATCGTCTTGTTGAAAGGAATATGCAAGAAAAGCAGGTTCTAGGTATTGTCAGCTGATGCATATATTCACCTATGTTTACCGTTCTGTTTTTCAGGTGTTGCTATCATAGCTGACATCTTCATGTGTTCCATCGAGAAGATCACTTCGAAAACTAGAAAAATCACACTTTCTCCACAGGTATTCTACAAAGAGAGATGACCGCCATTTAAAAGCCTCTTCAAATGATGGCGTTACTACAACATCGTATTCGTATCTAGCATCTATTAATAATTTACAAGTTTAACGACTATGCGAAGACAACAAATAGTGCGACATACGGCTTAAATAATATCGACAGAGTACTCACCTCACACTTAGTGTTATTAAAAGGTTTTTTGTGCATCATTGTAACCGTGGACTGTATATTCTAGAAGTGATTATGTAACGCTAATGTCGAGCCTAACGATATATCGTCAGGGTATGCGTGACATGAAAAAATTACACGTGAGAACGTGTTGCATGACCAGGTCGGCCTGTAACGATTGCCGTTGCCTCGTCAACGCCTTTTGTAATAATTTGGCTAGATTGCCTGATCTAAATAACAATGATCTGTGCTCTTTAACATTCGTTTTTGTCCTGACTGCTGCTCACGTTTCTAGAAAAAGGTTCTCAGAGTGTACGGAGATGGCCACTTTGAACCCGACAGCGACATTGTCTTGGTTGGTAACTAACTATCGTCTAACAATTTACCAAACGCTTTTTGCTTTACTTCATGTATGAATGGAATGATTTGACCGATGGCGTATGTAAAAATTTCCTGCACGACGTTGGTAAGCGCACTCTAAATGTATCCTAAAAACTCACTGCTTTTAACTAGCTCTCTTTTAGAAAGCGATACATCGACGTATTACGATAGTTATCCAGGTTCTATATGATTACAGGCAGAGTTGGCGGGCATGAAACTCATCTCGTAGCATATCATAGGATCAGCAAACAGAATAAAAAGATAGTTCTTGGCGATTACTAGCGGCTGTAGAGCAGCGGCATATTCGTTAAAAGTACAGTGCCCAGATCAGGCTCCCTGGTTTAAGGATAAAATATTTTTACCACAATAATGTAACTATGCAAAAATTTTAAATCAATCCGTTTACAAATAATAACAGTTCCTATCGTCGAGTAATATATGATTTAAACAAAATTATACGTTCAAGTATTTATATGCATGCCAAATCGAAACGTACTAACGCTTAAATTATCGAAAAATGCAATTAGTTGAAGCTGAACTTTTCATATATTTGTATAGGAACATCTATGGTGCTACCTCCAAGTATATGCATAAAAAGGCACAAACTTCACAACTGCCACGTCAGATCATAGATTTAAAATCACAATCCAAATAACTCCTCTACATCGAATCAATATGAGTGTTCGCCTCCGTGCGTGTGCGTATGTGTGCGTACGTGCGTGCGTGCGTGCGTGCGTGCGTGCGTGCCGATTGGTCCACAACGTTCTTACAAGCACTACAATAATACCCCAACTACGAAAAATTTGCTTCAAATTTCCGTAGATGCCAGATAGTGAACCTGAGGTAATTGAGGTAAAGGTGTGGAATGAAACGGTCGTAAATCTCACTCTTATGGCTCTCGGCTCGTCCGCGCCCGAAATTCTTCTAAGCATTATCGAGATTATTGGAAATGACTTCCACGCAGGAGAACTTGGTCCCGGCACCATCGTCGGTAAGGGTTTGCTGCCACTGACAGAACATACCTCTGACCATTGTCGTGTCATGCCATTATGCTCTCACGTCTTCAGTCTGCTATGATATTTCTCATTTCGTTCAACTATAACGATAAACTGCTTTGGCCCTGGAAATTGTAGTTTTTCCACTTACTGCTCCCAACTATGCTGTGGCAAACTGGGCCAGAGTTCAGAGAAGCATCTTCGGTGTCAAATGAAATATACTGAGGTACTGAAATCAACATGAAAGACACAAGCCTACATTTATAGGTTATCGTTTATAGGTTTTGAATCGTAAGTGAGGGAAATTGTATTGATTGGGAATATTTAAGTGTGATGATTCAGTGTTCAGTAGCTTAGTCGAACACACATACGATGTACTACAATCGTACAGACTAATAATACTGGGTGGGTATATTCGGGGGTGGGTGGCACCATTCTAATCCGTTTCTGTTTTTTGTTTTTTATCAATTAGAGCGGGCAAGATACATTTTGAATAAACGCATGCGCGTTTTTGGTGGCATAAACTCGGCCAATAACAATGCTTTTTTTTTTTCCTGCTGTTGGTCAGGATCGGCGGCTTTTAACCTGTTAGTGATCTGCAGCGTCTGCGTGGTAGCGATTCCAGCTGGCGAGACGAGGCGTATTCGCATGATTAAAGTGTTCGCTGTAACAGCATCGTTCTCAATTTTTGCATATGTTTGGTTGCTGATCGTTCTCGTTTTGGTTACCCCCGATGTGGTTGACTTGTGGGAAGGTATCCTTACTCTGCTTTTCTTCTTTGTACTTGTACTTCTCGCCTATCTAGCTGAAAAAGGTTAGTGCCCATATATCTTGCTCTGAAGCGCCGTAATAAATTATAAAATGATGAGCAACGGCTGCATAGTTTAGCATCTATATGTTATTCGACTAAAGGTTTCCAAAGATTAGATTCGTTACAAGGCTTACAAGTGAAATTGCAGCGCTTAAATTCACACCACATTAATAGAGCCATCATAGCAAATAGCTGGTCCTAAATTACTATATATGACTAGAATCACAGATGATTATTGTTACTGCTATTGTTACGGGCTCTCATTCCGAGTACAACTAGCATACATCAGGTCGGCGGGAAAGAAAAAGGACGAGAAGGAAAAAACTGATGGAGTAGGCCCATAGTTGAACAATAGTCGATAGATTGCATGTTTTTAGGAACCATTTATTGCACTTTTTACAGAATGATACAACTGGGGAAGAGCGTCCCTATTCAAGTTCCATGAGTTTGTAGACGCGTGCCTGCTAAATGAACTGGCATAAATTCTTTATACACATGTGCAAGGCGTTGTCACGTACGCATTTCTCGTTGCTCTGACCCGGCACTATATATATATATATATATATATATATATATATTAGTCAAATCCGGTCGTTGACCCTTTAGTCATAATTGACATCGCGCCCCCTTGTCGCTTTCATTGATCGATATATCGCCAAAAACGATAACATTTGCGTCACTCTGTTTCACGTTAAGGTACACAATAAGAACTGGGTCGCTGGGGTCGTGGATGTTAACAACCAGATGCAACCAGATTTCTGAAGAGGCAACAAACATGCTATTACATAACAAGCAATTGTTCCTTAGCTTCTGCTTCAATGCAGGTGAAATGTACGATCGACAGGCATAATATTTACACTATCCCTTCTCCATATTCATAATTGGGCGTAGGAGCGCTGTAAAGTAACAGTGACTTCAGGTGACTCATAATAACCAGTGAATAGAGACGAGAGGTTGAGTAACCCATTTCTCGGGCATCGGACGCCATTGCAAACAGTTTTAACTAGGCTGAAAACTCCTGAGAAAGCGGCACGTTTGTTTCGTATTTCTAAAAGGTTTGTCAAACGGGATAACCTATTGTAATTGATGATACCAACGAGCCTGAAATCGATGAGGACTTCTCATCGGTGCCGTTATTTTTGTCTATCTAAATGATTTGGATTTGCAACCACAGGGTGGTCTTTTGCTGTCCCGTGGGACATATGCACAGACATACATATGAATCGCGGATGTCATGCAAATCTCAATAATAAGATATATTGTTATTATAATTCACTTTTAACAGATAACAAAATGTATCTGGCATTTATCACTCAGGCGTTCTCCTGCCTGGTCACAAAAAAGAAGACACCTCTCGTCGGAAGCAAATTGAACTGAAGAGCACGGATGATCCCGAGAAGGCAAAGGAAGGTGTTCCGAACGGCACTGATTCTCACAAAAAGAAATTTTTCCAAAATGGACGAATCGATAGATCTAATCTTCTCAACTTTATCAAAAAAATTCGAAAGGTATTAGTTTTTGTACTCACGTGTCTTTCTAAACGGAAGACAATAAAATCGAAAGCGAACTTGTATATTTTCAGTGGAAGTTAATTCAGTTGCAGAAATGTGTTAAAATTAAAATACTGTTAGAATATAAAAAGGTAAAAAGTAAACCGTACAAACATCGTTTGTCGTCCAGCATCCCGGCCTGACCGATGAAGATTGCGCTACCCTAGCTGCAGCGCGTCTTGCCGATGAACAAGTCCATAGTCGTGCTTGGTATCGAATCTCCGCCATTCGTGATTTCACTGGCAGCAGACGGACGAAACCCTCGATCTCGGCACGACTTCAGCGAAAGCTCGACCAAGAGGTAGAAGTCGTTCTTTAGACCAAAAATTTCATTATTTAGATATGATTAATGCTGGTCCCGACTTGACAACGTCAAAGTATAGTTTTAATTTAAAATAATCATGTATTATATTTTCAAATATGTTCATGTTATTACGAGAAAGAGACTGGTGATTTCTTTCATACTTAAGCTAATTCGATATATCAAATAGCTAATAACACTACTTCAGTTGACTTCAACATAAGGATTGGTTTTTTAGGTGTGCGAACTATTTGCAGTGGCTGACACGTTAGATAAAGGTGGAGACAAACGTGAAACCGATAATAAGCTCGTTGGTACACCTGAAGCGCCTTCGGCTCAAAAGGGTATTCTACTTACGCCGCTGCCGCGCTTTATAGACAAGGATCTTTCGTATGTAGAGTTCAACGCAAGCCAAGTAGCCGTCGTGGAGAAAGCTAAGAAGGCAACGGTTCTTGTTCGACGGAGAGGAAATACTGAATCCGAAATTGCGGTTCGCATTGAAACAATTGACGGTTAGTTCAGCAATAATCGCTGTTTCGACTCTTTACTACTGCCGTGCTGTGTTTCACTACATCTCAAAAGGCCATATAAAATGTTGCAATTTTCCATATTTGAGCAACGTGTGAGAATAGGCCGGTCGCACAGGTCATACAGTTAAGGTCATTGCGATGCGAAACATTCATGATCCTTTAAAAACGCATGGGAGTAAGAGTGGCCAGTGAAGTTTGCGGCCTGGATCCTTCGATCGTTCGCTTTCGAGACTTCAGCAGGTAAATGTTAAGTGTATTTACATCGCCCAAAAAAGAAACCCAGCTTTCAGCAGGGAATACGACAGGAGGGAATAAGTCTGTGGCTTTAAATTGTTTCAACGCTACCATTAAAAAAAGGCGGTAACAAAAGGCTACACCAGTAAATTCGTCAAAACTCTTATACTACAAGTTGTAAACGGACTCGCTATAAATGTTTCAAAAAATAGTCCGTGTTGCGTCATAAGGTGGGGTGGTTGCATCATCATTAGCTGTATGGCCACTTGTGGTTTCGTCATTTATTTGAATTTAAAAAAAGAAAAATGTTTTTCTTCGTGGCCTGTAATTATCGCTAGAGAATACGGCGCTTTATAAAAATTTCCTACTAAGCTAGACAGGTCAAAGATCTTGACGCTTACGTCCCAGGTCTACAAGAAGTGGGTTTTGACCCAGGTATTGGCGTACATTTTGCATTTGCATTTTGCTCGAGAAGTGACAACGCGCAATAATAGTATGCGTACCGATCTCTAAACACGCCCTAGCCGCACTAAAGCCTATCGCAGTTACTCATACTGCTTTGCTTAACGCTGACAGATATTCATGAGTATCTATTGTGGAGTGCAGATGTCGACAAGATCGGTAAATCCGAAAAATTCATTACATCAATAAGGTCGTCAGTTTCGTTCAAAAACAACCACGTGCGACAAGCAACGACCGGTTGTATAACATACAGGAGAATGTGGTGCCTTAGTTTAACTCGTTAGGCTAAGTTCTGGGCCGTTAGTCCTTTTAGCCTCAGAATCCTAAGAACAGCGGCATACCGTGTCATCTGTGCTCTAAATGCGGTAACCTATATAGCAGAACTGCGTGAAAGGAAAAATCAGTAGCGCAAAGTGCAAAAATAGGCCCATTTTTGCTTAACTTTTTTAAGACAATCTATCTACATATTGCCCACGTCTATCTTGCCATGTATATATATATATATATATATATATATATATATATATATATATATATAACTGTGACAATATAGACGATCCAAATATGACAAATGTTGGTCCTATTCGCCATTTTATTTATAGCCTGATACAGTTGCCATTCGTAATTCCATTTGCCCGACTGAGCGCGGTCTTCTTCGAACAATTCATCTGATCGTCTCAGTACTTCCGCCTGAAGTCATACTATTTGCACTAGTCCAATTAGAAAATGTCATCATGGAGAGCAGATACGCCATCGGGCGGTGTTGTGACTTCCGGTGGTAAGAACGTGGCGAGGTCAGTCGATTTTGCTGCCTTCATCAGTCTATCCACTGTGTCATTTCATTCGCGTGCCAACAAGGTTCTGCGACACGCCGCACAACCCCACATGCGGCCTGGCCGAAAGGAAAATATTAAAGGATGTGAATCGGAAATGCCGGAAGTAGGGTGAAACAGTAGATCGAAGGATTTGAGTGTTCTAGCAAAGGAGGTCTAACGATAGGGTTATTGATCAGCGGCGAGTTACTGCAATAATTGTGGACCACTGTGCAGAGGACAACGGATGTCAGGCTAACCAACAACAACAATCACAATAACGAACGGGTAAAGAGAATATTTGTTAGATGAGATAGGACGGAGAGTGATGGTGAACCGCGCAGCGAAACGACATCAGTGGTAGTACATTTCGAATCGGATGATCGTAGGACTGCTGATGTGAGCTGTCTGATGTCTCAATCAACGCGCATTATACGAGCATCGTAGAATACGAGGGGTCGCCCAAATGGCTCTTGAGATGAAAGTGCTGATACCAAGTTGGCTTGACTCAATCATTGTAAGTAAGTCAGCTGAAACTGCGCGTGTCACTATCAAATCAAAAAAGCTTCTGAAGAAAGGAAACGACTGAGATCTTGTTTCGAAGTTTTCTTGATTGATATCTTGGCTTTTGGTTAGATGGTCATTTGGGACCTATGAGTATTCATATCGATACAGGCGGAATTTTACTCAAAATGATACTCGACATTAGATGTGAGGCAAAGCAGTATAGGTTAATTGACGGCCTACAATAAGGTGTAGCCATTGAGCCAGGACACATATAAAAAGCGAACAAGGTCTATTATAAAACAGGCCCAATTGCAAACGGCTGTTAGTGATATGGTGCGCTACCAACACATATTACACCCACGACTCCAATCCCATGTAATGTTGCAATAAACAAATATACAAAAAATGCTGATGTTAGTACTCTACGATTTTCTTCATGGCAGGCACTGCTACGGCTCATGAAGACTATAAACCGCTTAGGCAGATTGTGAAGTTCGCGGCCGGCGAGGTCGTGAAGACTGTCACCATTGAGATTGTTGACGATAAGCAATGGGAACCGGATGAGAGTTTCTTTCTTCGGCTTTCTATTCCACTGTCGCAGAAATCTGTACGACTGGGCCGCAAATCCGTCATGGAAGTGATCATTATCAACGACGATGGTGCGTCAATTTATATACTTAGCAAGGCTATTACTAATTATCATTGTTATTTATGTCCCACGCCAGCCACCGAGTAAAGAAAATAAATCTAGCCCTGTTGGATTTCAATACTAACATAAAGTAAAGTAGGTTTCAAGTAGGTTTTTCATTGAAGGGCCAAAGATTTAGAGGGAGGAAAATCACTCTAATAAAATTGAGTAGCTAATGGCAGGACACTGTGTATCTGACTCCTATTAATATGTAGCCGTAACCTTGTTTTTCTTTTGTATGAGCATGCATAGAAAGAGTACATTTTGCTGAAAATGTTTCTGTTAAACGTTAAAGAAACATTACAACTAGTAGCTTAGTTACCACTTAGAATTATTCCAAGGAACTTAACCCAGGTGTCTATGAACTCTAGTAAATCTTCGTTCAATACTAAGTACTACAATACGATCGCTACCGAAAGTTATAGCAGCTTTCGATTAAAAACAAGTTCTAATTAAACCTGTAGAAAAGGCAGCAACTAATGCGGAATACGATATTTATCTTTGTATACGGTATGTATACCCATCCATGATACGAAAATAATAACAGTAAAGCTTCGGTAAAGCAATGCGAAGTGCCTGTAGAGTTTAATCCTAGAGAATAAGAAAAGAATCCCAGTTCTATCCAACGTGAAGCAAAAATCGAGAGAATAGTTTCCTTTGGTTTTGAACCTGTGTGAGCATTGGTTTGTTTTATTTTATAGAACCTGGCCAGTTCCAGTTCCTTCGTCGAGGCGTGCTGGTTAAGGAGAGCGTTGGGATTGCGTCTTTAACCGTCGTTCGACGGAGGGGCTGTGATGGGGTGGCCCATGTGCATTGGCGAACTAAAAATCAGACTGCCGTTCATGGGAAAGACTTCATCGGCGGTAAGGAAAAAAAGCCCATCTTTTTAATCCTTTGCCTTACTCTATTCTTATTATTGAGTCCGTGTTTCATGCGAGATAGCAGTACGGCGGAATTTCTGATCGACACTGATCCGTTTAACTATTTTCTCTTAAGCTCTTTTGAAATTTGTTCCATTACGTTTGCTATTACTGAAATTAAATTCTGCTTGTTTAGACTATCTTCGATTGCGGAATGAAGAAAACTTGGCATAAGCATTCCTTTCTTTATAGGTATTTTTCGTAATGTAGGGATATACTAGTAAATTCTTCGAATACATTTTTTTAAATATTTTTTTTATTTATTTTTTATTTATTTATTTATATATATATATATAATTTATATTTATTTATTTTAATATAGGCGTTTGTAATGAAGTGTAATTAATACCAACTGAAATTTTTTTTTTAAATATTGATTTGGCTTTTTCACGAAATAGGTAAACAACAGGTGACTGCTTATCTGCAGTTTACTTACTAACGTCATCTGTCTGTCCTTTCTGGCAATATGTTCAAACTTCGACTTGGCGTAAATGCGTCATAATAACAATAATCGTTTGATAAAGACTTATTTAAAAATACCTTTTGCATCGGTTACAAATCATCCATTATCATTATATGAAACGTTCTCGAACAGCCTAAAATGGATTTACTACAGCTGGCTAGTTGGTTGGTTCCCGTTCGTAGACTAGGTAAACTATAAAGGATCAGCATCTTCTTCGGTGGTCAGTTTTGTCTTTGGACTGCCGTAGTCATTCATTCTCATCTCAGTCACATGACTCGTAACACATGGATAATGGAAAGAATGCATATACACAAAATGATCCCGCTGTATTACGTGGCATTTGGCTTTTTCTTTGTGACTCCCCGCCTTTCGTCTCTTCAGTTAAATTCAACAGGGGTCTACCGGCATTAACTGTTGATTTTGCATAAGACACCTATCAATGTATCGTTATATTAGAAATTTGCAACTGAGCTCATACGTAAGAACGGTAAAAGTGATGATAATAATCGTAGTTATTATTAGCTAGATGATTGCTTTCTGTTTCTAACCAGAAAATATATCTCTGCTATCCCCTACTAACTCGGTGCTATTCTCACAGAACCTACATCGCTTCTACAAATAGAAGCGTTATATTACTTTTGATGAAAATGAACAACTATAACTTGACCCAGAAGAGGTCGGATTATACTTGAGTAGAATTTCAACTCAACATGATTATATCAAGGATTCTTGTCGCAAACTGCCTGATTTTGTCGCAGCGCATCTCCTTTTTCTTCCCTCATTAGGGAGAACTTCTAGTGGAATAATTTGTGTTTGCTATTAAAAACGTGCTCACATTGTGCCAATGCAGTATGCTACGGTTTACATGAACGATTAGAAACTTTATAATCTAGGAAAGATGGCTCTGTTCAACCATTGTCAATGAATTATATCAGCATTGTAGACATCACAATTGCATGCGACTGAATAACTATTGGTTTATTTCTTATATTTGTTAACGTCCGTATCAAATTGTAATTTGCTATTATCTACCAAAGTCACAGCGACAAAGTAAAAAAACAAAGACAGTTCTTATAGTACTTGAATGTATGCTTTAAACTGGTAGCGTTTCAATCGTGGACATTCAAGAGAGCGAAGGTCAAGCCCATCCTTCCAACGATCTTATTATAGATAACAGCCAAAGCGGCTGGCAAGTTCTCTGTTTGTCTACTTTTTCCCCAGTCTCTTAATAATCACTATCTCATAGGGTAAGTAGGGTTGCCTTATTGAAACAGCTCTTCTTCAATTAGTGGCCGCGTTTAAAAAACGTAATCTTTTTCAAAACGCCAAGCTGTGTCCGCTCGACGGTTGATTGGATATGTTGCAATAACACTTGTAATAAACATTTGCTACATTTGGACACAAAGATACGCAGATTGGCCACGCATATTGACGAACTCGTAGACGCATTATCTGATTAGTTCTAGTGAAGACACACATCAGCTGTGATATGTCCTATCTTTTTGCCCGGATGGACCAATCGGCTTTTCAGGCGAAGGCAAACTTGTATTTGAAGACGGCGAATCGGAAAAAGCTATCGAAATCAAAATCGTTGACGATCTTGAAGCGGAAAAGGATGAACACTTCGAGGTGGAACTCTTCGAGCCATCGGCGGGGTGCACGCTTGGCTCGCGTACGAAATGCACAGTGACCATCGCCAACGACGATGAGGTTAATTCGGTCATGAACCGAATCATGATGATGGTAGACGTTAACGTGGATAAGATGCGTGTGCACAACGAATCATGGGCTGATCAGTTCCGTGAAAACATGAACGTCAACGGCGGAGATTTCGAGTCAGCTACCATGACCGATTATATAATGCACGGTGTGACCTTTTTCTGGAAGCTTCTATTTTCCTTCGTCCCGCCTACTGCGTATGCCGGTGGATGGATCACATTCGTTGTCTCATTAGTTATGATTGGTATACTCACTGCCATTGTAGGTAAGTAATAAGGAACGAACTTCCTTTTTTTCTAGAAAAGCTGACTCAGCTTACTGAACACCTGAAATCTACATCGGTGTCATCATAACATCCATAAACACGAGTGAATACGGGTCTGTTTAGGCGTATACGTGATCTATACTTGCAGGTGATTTAGCAGCGATATTTGGGTGTCTCATCGACCTTAAAGCTACAGTTACAGCAATTACGTTCGTTGCTCTGGGTACGTCGCTTCCGGACTTGTTCGCGTCACGCACGGCCGCCGTCCAGGAGAAGTTTGCTGACAATGCTATTGGAAACGTGACAGGTTCCAACTCAGTTAATGTGTTCCTTGGCTTGGGTTTGCCCTGGGTGATTGCTTCTATCTATTGGACAACGAAAGGGGAAGTTTTCAAGGTAGGTTACAATTAGACGTAATTTGTTAGAGGATGTTAGTCCTGACTTTTACCAATACTTCTTTCTAAAATTCCGTCTTTCTCATAGAGCTGATCGTTTTTTGGTGGTTTTATTATTTTTGTTTTTTTGCTCATCATCTCTATAGGTTGAAGCGGGCACTCTAGGCTTCAGCGTGGGTATCTACTGTGCAGTAGCCATCTGCTGTATAGCTTTACTACTAGCCAGACGCCAGCTGCATCCGCTAGGTCGAGCAGAGCTTGGTGGGCCCCGTCGCACGGCTATCGGGTCTGCACTTTTTATGATGTCTCTTTGGTTGATCTACGTGACCCTCTCAGCACTTAGAGCATACGGATACATTTAATTAACGCGCCATTGTTACGTGTTCCGAGAAGGATGTCCTGTAACACAACACACTGTACGCATAGAACCTATTGCTGTCTGCCAGATTTCAAATGTGCTTATGATGTATTACGATGCTGTGGAAATAGGACAAGCAAAGGGAAAAGATAGACAGTCGAGTGGTTGACGTCTCGATTGTTGATGAATGGCCACCGGTTAAAGACACTTAAAACCTTACAATTCTAATTAAACAAATAACAAACGACCACCCCAAGCTTATATACAAGAATACAAAATGAGCTCCCGCAGGACCTAGTTAATTCGTTGTCCGACTAATTGCGTGACTGGTTCACCCAAAAATGAGATTTTCTTCACAATTTTATTTACGATACATTAGGACAGAAAACGTGCACAAAGCGCCTGTTGATGAATTGACAGGATCTGAGGAAAAATATCATCACGTGGTCTGTTAAAACAAAATTGAGTTCAAGACAATGTTGGCAGTATGTCATGCGCGTTCTTTGCTGATGTCATAAAAATCAGAAACAATAGTAAATTAGGAGGTAGCCGGAGTCAAGAGGTGCCTTAAGACCGATAAACGAGCAGCATTCGTCTCGTAGAGGTACCCGCTTAAACAACAAAAAGCAAAAGCTAATAGACAAGGGTAGGCTCTCTAAAGTGAAAAGCAGGGTCGGACCTAGGCATCTATTCTGTGAGTGTAGTTAAACCTCGACAAAGGTTTTGTCTGAAGGCATCGAAAGACATATGGGGAGGTCTACAATGCAACTGAACAGATTGCGTGTTCTGATTCATCAAAAATATTCTAGACGCCTATTTCCAACTGTTTCAATTTTCTAAATTAGCTACGCCATTTCCTCATGATTACGAGTTATTTATGAATGCTTGCAATATTTATTTATACCACCTGTACGTAATAATATACATTTAAGTCATTTCTGTGTCTCATCTCTTTGGGCACACCCCTTACACGTCGTGGAAGTTGCATCTACATCCACCCTCACTCACTGCATCTGCTTCACGCTTCGTTGTATATTAACCTTCATTTAACAGTATATATATACAGATGTGTACAGCAATAAATAATGTGCTTTCCGTGTACACTACATTTTTGTGATTTTTTAGCAAATTACGGTCATTTTACTTTGATTTTATATCGAATGTCCGTTCTCATGATTGCTAGCGTTATGTGAACAAATTTATCTACACCTATTTATTTAAGGTTTTGAATGCACGACCGCTGCATGTTAAATAGTAATAATAATCGGAAAGTTTAAAAACTTTTGGACCCGGAATCTGGTCAAAACTATGCAAAGAGCAAATCACACATTCACCAAATACTTTTTAAATAAATTCAACTAACTAATACTATTCAAATTATTTGAACCTTTAGAGCACCTCAAGATACGCAATGCCACGTTAAAAAAAACTGCTCCGGAAAAGCCACTTGGCAGATTCTCGCTTAATTAGTGCGTAGACATGTTAATCGCAGTTTGCTCACTAGTCAAACTGGCTTAGGACATGTTGTCTTTTGCGAATTCTGTTCGCTGATATAAAAATACTTTCCTAAGGTTAGGCGATAAATCGATTACGTAAAACGGGTCGAAAGTTTCTCGGCAGTTGAAGAGTCTTCATTTGACATCAGTTAAAACAACAGAAGATACAATTATTGCAATATAAAGCATACCTAGCCGTGCAGTACATTTGTAATAGAAACCATCTATATTTGCTATTATACCATAGCTACAACACTGATTATGAGGTCAATCAAATGGTCTTATTATTTAGTATCGTAATATTAGGTAGGATGCTTAAAACATAGTATTATGTGAATATATAAATGGTATTATAAGTAGCTACTGTCCTACATACTGTACATAGATCAACTCTTTATTGCCATCATTTGCGTGTCTTCCGCTACCTTAGGCAATAGTTCGCTCGTATTGCTTATTATATTAGTATTACTAGGTACGGTACGTCGTGTCCTCACAAGGATTCTCTCACACCCTTAGAATTTAAGTACTCTGATCGTACATCGTAAAATGACATCATTGCTACGTTTGCGTTTTACTTATTTGATGCAGGACTGCCACCCTAACTACCAGGTATATGCCGAATACTGCTTATATTTATAACAAATCTCAGTTTTACTTGTTCAGAAACACCAGTCATTTGAGTCTCGAACTGAAATATTTTAACTGCTGCTACGATTTCAATAAAGTACTTTGTAAGATTACGGAATAGCTCGAAACATGGAAAGAATTGCCTACGTTAGGATAGGAGAATTTTTCAGCGCTATTACGATACGGCAAACCTGGGATGCATTTTTGTAATGATAGATTATGATATTCATTTTGTACTGCTTCGATGAGACTTCCAACTTCATAGGTTTCTAATTTCACTTGCTTAGAATTTTGTGTAAATATAGTTGGTACTAGTAGGTGGTAAGTTTCTCCTCGTCTTAGGTTTCCTAAGATCTATTGTCGAGCAATTAAATACAGTCTAATCGCATTTTAGCAGTGTCGCCTCCAATAGCCTTTGCCCACCTATCTGGCTACTAGAAATACTTCTTTCTTGGGATTTATTCGTCGTATATGATATTTATTTATAGACTTTTGCTTCCCTTTTTAAATTTTTGCCTGCCAGGCTATGCTGCATTTTCCGAAACTAATAATAATCGGATGAAAGGGTATAAGTCGGGTGGAGCCTACTTATTGTCTTGTAGATCTTAATGGAACATATACTGCTATGTTTTTATTGAAAAGAAGACTCGTTTAAAATATTGGAGAATATTAACACATTAGTTGTATGTTTATTAATTAGCTTTGCCTCAACGCAAAAATCTATTAAGAAAGGGTGAAAAAAAGCTCATCATGAGACATCATTTTGCCAATGTGCCGGTTCTAGACGCTTTTTTTCACGTTGTTTAAGATTCTGAGTTCGCACTGTCAAGTAGTTCCTTACATACATACGTGTACAGCATATACAATCTGTTGGAAAAAGATTGCGTATAAAAAGTATTAACCCCGAAATTGTCGACGATCCGATGACATGAACAGCCCGCAACGATGCCTGTCAGCTGCTTTATTCGGATTATACATACTGTACACAAAAGCGGAGAACACTCCTTTAGCCATAAAGGATCTTATCGGCTTTATCGAGCTAGTCGGATTGTTAATTGACAACTTCAATAGCACTGTTTAATAGTTAACAGTTACATTTGATACGTGCGAAAGTTGCTTATGCACCAAATATATAGCAGCTTTTACGGGAAAGCAAAATCGTAATTATGGTTATCGGGTTTTTAATTCGAGGCCTATGTGTATGCTGAATACAGATATATAAATACATGTGTGACATCTCTACATAACGTATGTGCTGAACGAAAATATATACACAAGCTAACGAGGATACTAAGTGAAGATAGCCCACACAACTCTCATGCCACAAACTCACACCATTCTTGCTCAGTTCTTATAGCTATTTCATTTTCATCAGCCTGCGAGCATTCAAGTAGTGAACATGCTTTTAGTCGGAGTCGAACCGGACTGAGTTGACCCCAGTATCTATCTGACCCCCACTGTACGTTCCACGCTTCTTCTTGGTCTTCTCATGTCGGAAGTCGCGTCCCTTAACCTGCTTCAAGACCTGATTGGCTCGTGCACCGAAATTGCTGCCGTGCGCGTTCATTTTAGCCTCGTAAGAATTGTCCGCCAAGCGCGGGTCAACCTTGATCTCCTCAGCACGCACGCGTCGATACGGACTATTACGCGGTTGATGTGCTGCAGCTATTTTTCAGAATTAAATCATAATTATAATCATTTACATACTATTTTTTTAATTTTCGTAACTTTAGGAACTATGCTTATTTAACAAATAATCAACACATATTAGTCACAATCTTACTGATTATTTTGTATAACAGACAGTTTTTTAAACTCACGTCGGTCATGGCTTATACACATAGTTATGGAAAAAGAAAGTTTGCAGCTATAGCTAAGCTAGAGACTTACAGTTCTTGACAACGTTCGACGACTGCAATGCGCTCTTCTTTAATGGAGGCGCCGTCGTCTTGATTTCTTCGCTGCTCTCTGACTCATCACGCTCATCCTGTTTAATAATAGTATCTCATGATAGTTAAAAAGAAGACAACGCGTAAGGATCAAGAAATTCGAGGGAGAATCTATTATTGTTGTGATGAATATGACAAAACAATCCATATTTTTCAATTTATTTGAGAGCAATTTTTCAACGACCTATAGGGAACGCGGGCTCACAGTAGGATGACGCAAACTAAAGAATAAACCGACTAGCTTAATGAAGAAAAGTTCATGCTCGTGGTAGATTCCTCTTACCGCTTTTCTTTTGATGATCTGATTAACTACTGGCACCTTTCCTTTTTCGTTTTCAGTTTCAGTGTCACTTGATGAGGGAGATGTGGTGGACCGCTTTATTGCTTTGTAGCCGTTTATTTTTGCCCCATTAGGAACGCTTTTCACGACTGAGTTGGCGGCTGGTGTTCCAAACTTCTTAGGACTTTCTTTTCCAGAATTCGAAGTTGAATCTAAGGGCTCATCCTTTTTTGTGTGGGCCTTTGCAAAAGGTTTTGTTGAGATCTTTTCGAGACCCCCTTCCTCGGAATCTGTATCCGAATCAGAGGTTTTATCCTTCTGTGCTGAAACCTTTTCGAAAGGCTTAAAGCCAACGCTCTTTCTGACCGGTTTACATTCGGATACCAAAGCTGTATCACAAGAGTCATCCTTCTTTACAGAGATTTTTATTGATGGCTTAGGAGTCACTGTCTTTTTACAAGTCCCTTCTTCGGAATCAGAGTCTGACTCACTATTTTCTGCAGCAGCCTTTACTGTTGGCTTCGCTGCGAAGGGGATCTTTTTTTGAGGCTTCTCGTCTGACTCGAAGTCCGAATCACGAGACTCAATTTTTTTGGCAGCAACTGTAACCGGAGGTTTAGCCAAGGTCACAGCCTTCTTAGATGCTTCCTCATCGGTGGTTGAATCCGAATCTGAGGAACCACACTTTTTCACAGATGTTTTTACTACTGGTTTTGTTGGGATGATCGTTTTCTTAATAGCATGTTTCTCTTCGAAGGCCGAGTCCGACTCCGAGGACGCGTTCTTTTTTGTGGCAACCTTAGCAACTGGTTTCGCCGTAGTAACTGCCTTTTTATTAACTTGTTCCTCATCAGAGTCCGAGTCCGTCTCCGAGGATGCATTCTCCTTTGTGGCAACCTTAGCAACTGGTTTCGTCAAAGTGACTGCCTTTTTGGGAATCTGTTCGTCATCGGAATCCGAATCCGAATCCGAGGATGCGTTCTTTTTTGTAGAAACCTTAGCAACTGGTTTCGCCGAACTGACTCCCTTTTTGGGAACCTGTTCTTCATCAGAGTCCGAGTCCGCTCCGAGGATGCATTCTCCTTTGTGGCAACCTTAGCAACTAGTTTCGTCAAAATGACTGCCTTTTTGGGAATCTGTTCCTCATCGGAGTCAGAGTTTGAGGATGTGTTCTCCTTTGTGGCAACCTTAGCAACTGGTTTTGCCGAAGTGGCTATCTTTTTGGGAACCTGTTCTTCATCGGAATCCGAGTCCGAGTCCGACTCTGAGGATGCGTTCTCCTTTATGGCAACCTTAGCAACTGGTTTCGCCAAAGTGACTGCCTTTTTGGGAACCTGTTCGTCATCAGAGTCCGAATCCGAAGATTTGCTTTGCACTGTAAAAGCTTTAGCAACAGGTTTCGCCGAAGTAACTACCTTTTTGGGGGCCTTTTCCTCACTAGAGTCCGAACCTGAAAACTTATCTTTTTTCACAGAGGCTTTTACTACAGGTTTTGCCAGAGGGACAACTTTTTTAGGAGGCTGTTCCTTTTCTGAATCGGAATCGGATTCCGAGGACTCCTGTTTCTTTACAGCAGTTTTTACTGGAATGACTATCCTTTTAGGAGCTTTCTCCTCTTCGGAATCTGAATCTGAGGACTCGCTTTCTTTGACAGGGGCCCTAACCGGAGGTTTTGCCAGAATGAGCCTTTTCTTGGAAATTTCTTCCTCTTGCGAATCTGAATCCGAATCCGAGGAGTCGTCTTCCTTTGAAGCAGCCCTTACTGCAGGCTTTGCGAGTGGTACCATTTTTTTAGAAGCCTTTTCTTCTTCAGAGTCTGAATCTGAGGACGTGTCTTTTTTAGGAGTTTTTACTTGTGTTTTTTCCGGAATGACCGTTTTCTTTGGAGACTGTTCCTCCTCTGAATCTGAATCTGAACCCGAATACTTATTCACTTTCGCACCAATTTTTTTTGCAGGTTTTGTAGAAACCACTACTTTTTTAGAAGTCTTCTCCTCTTCGGAGTCTGAGGACTCTTGCTTTCTGATAGGAGCCTTAAGTGTTTTTGTTGGAGTGACTACCCTCCTAGTAGGTTGTTGCTCTTGTGATTTAAAATTTGAAGACTGGTCTTTCTTTGTAAAAACCTTATCAGTAACTTTTCCTGAAATAGCTGCTGTTTTAGGAGCCTTTTCTTCTTCAGAGTCTGAATCTGAATCAAAAGACTCCTCTTTTGTCGTAAAAGCCTTACTAGCAAAATTTGCAGCAGTCACTACCTTTTTCGAAGAACCCAAGGACTCATTTTTTTTTGTAAGAGCCTTTAGAGACGGTTTAGCCGAGGTAACAACTTTCTTAGGTTTTTTTTCATCTGAACCAGGTTTTAACTCAGAAGACTCATCCTTTTTTGCCTTCATTACAGGTTTAATTGGGGTAGGTTTTTTGGAAAGCTCTTCAGCAGAATCAGAGTCAGAATCGGAAGATTGAGTTTTCTGAACAAATGTTTTTGGCACTGATTTTGCCGGAGTGATGGGTTTCTTTGAAGTATCCTGCTCGGAACTTGAATCTGAATCAGAGGAGTCATCCTTTTTGACGCACGACTTTGCAACTTGCTTAGCAGATATAACCATCTTTTTAGGAGCATCTTTTACAATGTCAGAGCCTTTTGTTGAGGAAAGAATCTTCTTCGGATCTTCTTCAGAGTCCGAGTCGGAGTCCAATGACTCAGCATTATTTGGAGGAGCCTTCACCACTGGCTTCACTGGACCAGAAACTGCTTCGAATTTCTCTTCGTCAGAATTTGAATCAGAAGATGAGTCGTCTTTAGCCACAGATTTAAGTCCCAAGGTGGCCGTCTTTTTGGGGCCTGCCTTGTGAGATTCAGAATCAGAAGATTCACTGGAAGCTTCGGTTTTTTTGACCTAATTGCACAAAAAACAAACATAAAAAAGAAAAGATGTCAATATCTTTTATCGTAAGCTGTGATGTACTAGGACCTTGTATATAATAGATAAGCGGTCACAGTCTTAGGTACGATAAGTATCTTCACGTGATTTCAAATGGTTGCCGAAGACGGCAATATTTACTCACATCGCATTTATTTATCTTAGAAAGCTAAGGTAAGCTCTTATATTTTGTTAATTATCAAAGTGGCTGTCTGAAAGAGGAGAGATCCTATCTGCTAGGTGTATTATATGTATGAATGATAAAATTTGGGCGGCTTCTTTTTCAACGTCAGAGTCATTCGTCGAAAAAATAATCTTTCTCAGATCTTCTTCAGAACTCAAGTCGGAGTCTTTTTTTGTCAAAGCTTTTAAAAGATCAAATAGGTGTTGTTGTACGGCTTGCTGCTCGTATACATGTATAGATCAGAACCATGTGTTTCCACTTATTGAAATGGTCAGTTGCTACATAGGTGCAAAAGCTTTCGATACCTATACAGATCGATATAAATAAAAAAAATTGCTCAAACCATATCCTCTCAAAAGCCAATTAATTTGCATATTCTAAAATGAAACTTAAGATACTTTTATGTTGGGCCCAATATGACAATCAAATGTTTTTGTAATTGACATGAGACCTTAGTATCTCTCAAAGCAAAAAGGCAAACTAATTCTGTAACTAGTAAAGTTGATTAATGAATACATTTTGCTACATTGATAATGCCCAATTACGAAATATTTCGTTTCTTATTATCGCTTCAGAACTTCATGTTTACTTATTTTCTTCATGATTTTTTTCTTATTTATTTTCCGATATAGAAAATTATGGACTAATTTTGCCTGTTTTTCTGTTTTGAATTATATTAAAGGAACACACCCACTCTTGTGAATCAGACCATTTTTGTCCAATGATTGGATTCGTCTAACCAAATACCAGTCTTTAAAAGCAAATGCTAGCTGAATTTAGTTCGACTGATTTTGCGAAATGCATCAGAATACGAAGTAAGTTACCTAAATGTATATTTGCAAGCTTAAATGTATAAAAAAATTCAAATATATGCAAGTGATAACTCACGGACTGACAAACAAGTCTCTCCTTATTTCAAAATAACGGCATAATTCATGCAGCTATAAATTTAATGAGCTTAAATAGCTAAACACATCTTAGAAAAGTGATATTTTGCTATTGTAATTCCGAAGCGCTACTATTATTATTATTATAGCAGTGGAAGAACACCAATGTCATGAGGATGACACATTTCTGTATCAAACGCACGTGGGCACAAGGCGTATCGGAGTCAATGATAGCGCATAGCGTGTTGCAGGTCATGATGAATTGTTTAAAGATATTTTCGACAGCAAACGGGCAATATAACACACAGTTACACCTGCTACTGGCTAGTTCGTTAACAGATTTCTATGTCACGATAAACCAATAATAAACACACAAGCATATGCTGTGGGTAAAATATTTTCTCGGAAAAAGCTAAATTTGAAATGACACGTCAATGGATACGATGCTTCTTGTTGAGCATTAACTGTAGACTTTAATAGAGTTTATCGAAATGTCCAATCTGACCTTTTTGGCCGGTGCGCCCGAAGACTCAGCTTTGCGTTTTCCGTACAGCTTTTTAAAGAATTCGGTCGTAGGTATTGCATCAATCTTCGCAGACCTCCTGTATGAGTTCGCTGTAGCCCGATTCGACACGATCTCTATGACGGCGGCTAGTTCCTCGTGAAATTTTTGTGAGAGATCCATTAACCGCGTCATTGTCAGTGTTCGTGATACAAACAACAGGTTAATAGAATTAGTGGAGCCACTACCGAAAACCAATACACTACACAGCAACCACTTCAGCTCCGCGCAAACACGTGAGGAGGGCTAGCTGCACGAATACCAGCTCTGAACTAAGACCAAAATAAAGCTACTATTCGTCATGGGATCGGAGGCGTAGTACCACATAGAAGTATCAATCAACGATGGATAAAGAACCGGTAGTAATAGTCAAACTGCGGCAACGTGTCTAATTATCTTATCCACTCTCAGGTTACTAAGATTTCCATTGAATTTTCGCAGGTGTCATCTTGTAAGAAATGAAATTATACATGTTGTCACATTTCATATTGAACCAGTGGCATCAAACGGGAGGCCGAAGGGTGACGGAGCACAATTGCAACGTACTTCCAGAAATCTTTCCATTCAAATTCAGAGCACTACAGTGCCTCGAGAGCACTGAAACGAAATAAAGTACGTAAAGCCTAACAATCTAAGTTTAGTCCTACATGAAAATCAATCCGTTGAGCCGCGCTTCCTCGAATGCTTCGAGAAAGAGAAGCTTCTATAGAGTTATTAGGCCACGTTTATGGTGCATTGAAGAACATTGTTTAAATAAAAACTATAAATGACAGCAAATGTTGCTAAATGTCGTTTAGTATAATCCGCGCGCGTAATTTTGAACTTCAATTGTGCCTAAGTCCTAGCTATCTATGTTTAGATATTAATTATAATTTTATTATTATTTTTGGAATTGGACAAATTTTAGTTAAGCTTAATTAATTTATTCGTATTATGATAACTCAATAATCAGCAAAACATTATCTATGCATTGATAAATTGCAGGGTTTGACATTAAGAAATTAGCTTGTTAAACTCAGTGCTCTGAGTATAGTTGCACACCAAAGAAAACATTGAAGTCATTTCGACATTTAAAACCCATGTTTTTATCGTTCATTGACCGCATCAATAACGCTTGAAGCCAAGCGTTTTGCGTCTTATTCTATAGGCATACGTATATGCTTCTCTTCCGTAAACAGCATACTCAACTCAACGGCAAAAGCATTATTCTTAACTAGGAAAGTAGGGTCCCTAATTTAAGTAAATCTACTCATCTCAGAATCTCGATTCGTTTTGATACGAAGTTCCAGAATGCGTCAATTCGTCCTATTTCACAAATACGCGATCAGCTGTTGCTTAGTTTACCCGCCCGCAATATTCGAATATTCGACCGAGTAAGAACTTCGTTCGGTTTCTATTGCAAAGTTTACGTGTAATTTTTCTTATGAGTGCGTCAGAAAAATCCATAATATGGACCCCAGTAAGTGAAACTACATTAATTGTGACATATATAAAGAGTATAATAATGAAATCGCGGGTCAAACATATTTTTACATCGCAACAGCCAGTAGCCTACTGCAAAAGGATAGACTTTTATCTGTATTATATTACTAATTATAAGAAAGGCTATTAGTTTTCTATAGGATGGGAAAAGAATGTTTGAATGCGAATACTCTGTGGGTTTAGCTTTGTTCAAATGATTGAATCTACACTTGATGCTTTCAGAGACGTTGTTGTATAGCAAATGCTATTCAAAGCAGTCCTCTATGGTTCTGCAGCTTTAGTAGTTTTGATCAGTACACAACACGGTATTGTTACTTATATATAATATGGAAGGTTTATCTTTATCATTGTGTTTTATCATGGGTTTTTCATGTTTCTTCTTAATTTGGCTATAGAAAATTGCTATGCAGATAACTTTCTTTACGCTCGACAACCTCTGAAATCTTGTGTGCAGCTTTAGTTCGAATCCCTCAGTTGACCGCTGCACGATGCAAGTTCGATGGTCTGTTACAACAGGTCGCCGAGCGAACTGAAGATCAGGTGTCTGCAGAACAGGCTGATACTGGAGACGGAAAACAATTTGAGAAAGTCGGAGGGGGGGGGTCTGGTCAGAAGAATCACGGAAATCAGCAGCACAAATCATCTACGAAGCCGGTAAAGAAGAAGCTAGAAGCCACAGCCAACACAGTGATAACTAAGGTCAGTCGTTCATTGATGCGTGCACCCTTTCGCCTTACCTATTTTATGGATACCTTTTATTAAGTATATCAACCTTTAGAGAAACAAGTTCTTCTAAATGTCTTAACGCTGACCAATCTTGTATTGTAAATAGATTGTGTGACGGTTATCGAAAATATCGCATTAGCTCATTACACTTAGACTATATTCTGCTTGGTAAAGCAAGACATATGATGTTAAAACGCATTCATTTAATCGCCATACAATTGATAACATTAATTGTGGCGACGATGTTAACAATCATGACCATTGCAGATCCTTGATTGTTCGGTTGACATGGCAAATTTCGGCGGACGCTCACCGTTGTACCCAATGGTTCGCGCCTGGTGTCGAAACGACGCGCACAGAGACGATGCAAGTGACACGAGCAATTCATTATATAATTTCAGATTATTCAAAAAAGGAAGAAAAATAACAAAGTATCAGCGCAATATTTTTTCAAATATAGCACTACTCCAGCTTACAAAAAACAAGTATTCATTTGACAGATTTTCACTACCCTATATTTCGTGGTTTAACATGAAGTACAGTTCAACTCATACAACGATTTTTGCTTTTTCGCGACAAACAATTTTGCTTGAACCTGTACTGGCGTGATTTGTTGTTGCGCATGTTGACAGGTGTCGTCTTCTGGCTCGGGCTCAGAAGACGAAATGTTAAACGATGGGCGGATCGTAACTGTAATGCCGCCACCAGCCCCGCGCGCTCCTGACGTGCCGCGAGTGCCGCCTCCTCTGCCGCCGCACGGTGTTCAGGAGATACCCATCGGATCGGTAAGAATAACAATTGTAATATTACGAACATTACATAATGGATGCTTCCGTTGTCCTAAATCGGCTTCATCATTTAAATTAAGTCAATTCGGGCCTCGAAACACGAATATAGTACAAAGGAATGTTCGGCTCATCTTTTAAGGAGTGTGGTCTTCAAAATCGATTATTAAGCGTTACCAAGTTTTTCGACAATTTCTTTAAGATAGAGATAAACTTCCTGACAACACAACTATTATTCTTATGACTCCATTTAAACCTGAAGTGTTTTTTTAGGGGGATCTTTTAAATATGCGAAACTCTTTACCGATTCAAGGAATTGTAATTGTTATAGCCTTATTGACATATTTGTTCGTTTGTAGGTAGGTGACGATTTGCCTGATGCTGAAACGATGCTAGCGGAACACAGAGAAAGATGGAGGCTCGTTCGGGAGCAGTGGGCAGAGGCGTCGGCCCTTAACGAGGAACGGTTTGTAGCTAATATCTTTGGATGATGTCGGCGGAACGTTTAGCGTTGCTTTCGTATCAGACTTAACGGTCTTGTTGGTTTTCGTTTGAATTGGGACCTAATGTCGGATGGAATCGCATTGAAATTAAGACAATTATATGGTTAATATTTTAACAGCTTACCACCAATTTGCCACTATTCAAAGCTAAGCTTGATAGTAACTCTATTGTACAAAACTACTGCAACATTTTATTAATATATAATTATTATACTTGTATTAGTTTATTGTATATATAGACATAGGTGTGAACATTGTCTCTTAATTGGTTTTAAAATATTCATCCCAACATTAATGCCATTGATACTGAAGCGGTGCAATTTATGGATTACTTGTAATCAAATCACTATACTTACATGTAATATCACCCTATGACATGGCTGAAGTTCCACAGAACTAGGTATCATGTTCACGCCGTAAGAAAATTACTTTGTCTGATTCATTTTGTAAATAGCTATATTGCGATTATGTGTATAGTTTCAGAACGCGCATTAGTCTAGTTGCATGTAATTTAGCGATCTAAAATACCCGGCTTGTACCTTTCTCGTTTTAGATACTTTGAGAGCTGCGAAATTCTTAGCAAATGCCAGTCAATTGAAGAGCCCGGGGAGGGCGCCCAGGAATGGGACGGCATTGAACCACTACCATAATCCAACTAATACAGAACCATTTGAAATGAAACCAATGAGCATCAAATGCGATTGTACGCTGTTGTGCTGGCAAGTATTATCCAGATTACACAAGAATATTTCGAACTCATTCAATAATCGTTCGTTACTCGTTGCTGTGTACCCGAAGACAAACCAGTATTTGACAACGAATACGACACTATCGTCGAGCTCTAACAGCTTTGCTACGTATTATTTAGGTATATATAATTTGTGTATGAGAAACTGTGGTCAGATTCTATTACTCTACGAAGGTGCTGACTGAGACATTTATGAGTTATTGTCTTGTGATGGACAATGAAATTATTCATTGATTTTTCCTTTATTCTTATTTAGCCTATTTTTGTTACCTTGCAACCAGCGCACCTAGTCGAACTGTCTGTTTTTTTCCGAATCTGTCCGGTTTTACTCTGCTGACCTAGGTACAAAAAACAAATAATAAGCGAAACTTAATTTGTACTCTGTAATGTACTAATAATACACCTTTTTACGATAGCAGAAATATGGATGCCAACGAAATCATAGATAATAAAAATGCGATTATATATCAGCCGGTGAATTAATTTCTTTACTAAAATGCATGAATATATATTGTCAGATTTGGCAGCTTTAACAAGGGCTTCTGAGTTAATGTCGTTTACAAATCCTAATCGTTTTAATGATTATCTGTACGGTTCCGCCAAAAACCGGGTCTCATCGTAACCCCTAGATATTATATGTACAAAATGCAAGGGCAGCGAGTTTTTTTTTTGTTTTCTCATAAGATTCTCAATCTGCTATTTTCAGAGTAGCGCTGTGAAGTCGAAACTCTGCGTAGCATAAATAGTAGTATGGTTTTGCGACATTGCGATTTGCTTCCTTATGGTTCCGCAAGGTTCTGAATGAGTTAGCAAGAATAAGACAGCTATTTAATACTTCTCAACAGCACGCTCGCAAGCAAACTTCATTTTTGTCCAGTTCGGTACAGTGACTCGGTAAGCATTTGTGTGTATGGGCATATACACATGTGGACATTTAGTTCTAACAGAACTATTCATATAAATTCAATTAAATGCGAAACCCTGCTATAGAACCGCTGAAATTGAGGAAATGGATCAGCATTGAAAAGCTTATAATTGCTCTTCTTTAGGGCTACCGTGAAAAAGTAGATATCTTGTCTTTATTCGGTAAGAAGCAATCGAAGTCTGATTTTCAGACTATTCCTATTTGGCTTTTAAGAAAACTGAAAAAAAAACCAACTAGGTACCGGTACGGAAAGCTTTTCTTGAAATTTCATTTTCTGTCAATGCCTTGGAAACGATAAGTCCCATGAGAACGTGCTCAATATGAAAATTGTCATTCCTAGCAAACGCTATCGATTGGTGACGAGGGCCATTTATCGGTAACATAGATTTACATAGAAGAAGTCTGATTTTTGGGTCGAATTTCATGTTTCTATTTCCTTAACGCAAAATCTTCAAATATTCTGTGGAAGAATAGATTTAAGCGATTAAAAAGACTTCATTTCAGGTACAGAGGAACCTGGTTTACTAATATAATTATTTATTGTGACGCACATGTAGTATGCAACCGTAGAGGTAGCTCTCCCGCGGTACTGGTTCGCCAAATATTGAAAGATATTAATTACGTAGGCAAAATATCTGCTACGCTGACTAGCTACTAGACAGGCCATTGGAAAACTGCTAGAAGATTTCCATATACATGTTTCGGTACAAGGCGGTCAAAAGGCGGGCTTACAAAACGCGTTAAATTCTAACGGACATCAAAACCAAAATAATATGAGACCTGTTTTATCAAGGTGGCATGGACCAATGTATATATAAACGTAAATGACAAAACGTAAGAGGGAACCAATTGAAGTATCATAGTACTTAAACACGGGTTTCTAAATGTTTACTTATGAGAACTCTTTTCATCAGCCTGCCTTTTGTAATAATGATGACAATAATCATTTGATTATATTCTTATTTTTTTAGGCAAATGGAGCTTTGTTGTACTAAAAGTTCGTACTACTGTTAATTATTACAATATCATTATTGTTATTATCATACCACCATTTGCATGTGTCTTAATTTGTTAAACGTTAGCACTGTCGATTAATTTTCAACTATTATAAACTCCTTGCATGTTTAAACTAAGTCAATGTAGATAAATCTTAACCAATTGATTCATTCACCAAAAAAATATGGTGGCATTTGCATAGACAGACGATGCTCTTTTTTTTTCATTTTGAGAATAATATAATTATATAATGCCTAATAACTGACATAAGAATATAAAAAAGAGGGTAACTGATTGCACCCTTCTTCACGGATAATTCGAGCAAAAACGGCTTCATTTATGCGTACAAATGTGATAATCAAACAGCGGACCCAACTTCGCAGTCCAATTTTGTAATATACGAAAGCGTTTTCTGTAAAAAATCTATACCCGTTCTCTAACATAGGCGCCGCGTGCTTGGTCTCTAACGGACCAATAGATTCTTTATAAGTAAATAGATCAGTTTACGAAATTAACTGAATAAATTCATACTTATTCAGTTGGCTTCGGAAACAAGTGGTATAACTCTGTTTATGAACTTATCTCCCATACAGAAAAAAGTTGCCTAAAAGTCCTTGTAGATAATTCACGACTAATCGACATACTTAAAAGAACTTTATGATCTCGGCCGCAGTTCATAAAACGCCAGAACACCTGACTTCCTTCACGCTAACAACGCAAATTAAATTCAACTAAGACTCTAAATGGTCGATCACAAGTGTGTAGTGAATAGCTCATCGCAACAAAAGAACAAAGCTACTTCACAAGGAAAACGTTACATAACAAAGCACATAATAAAGTACGAGAACCTCTTGAACAAGATAATCGGATGCAAGAACCGAGCGAAACGCCTTGTTGTGACATGACAATGAAATGACGACATGGTCAGATCGCTATTTTGCATGAACTTCCTTTAATGTGCAAAGAGGTCGAAACTGACCTCATTTACGAACTAAATGCAACCATTGTTGAGTTCTGGTGTACCAGAAGGCTTATAATGAGGTTAGCATCCTAAAGGCTTGATTTATTTTTTTCACGTGCATTCGGCAATTTGTGTATGCGCAATTTCTGACCCAATAGCAGAATATAGATTTAATTTTACAATGGTACCTTTAGACTGTGGCAACAGAAGGGTAAATTAAGAGTCGACATTTTTTAATCAAACTAGCGCACATCGAGTAAAAACGTTTTTATAGTTTTTTTGTTAAATTGTGGGTGACAAGCGCTTTTCTCTCTTAAAAAATATAATGTATAATTATAGGTCTTAATAGTGAATATATGCACGTAACGTTTTAGAATAGAATCAGTATCCAGGTAGGAATATAGTCAGCTGTCACTACTAAGCTCAAAAATTAATGTTTTCTATTCAGCCACAGCCACTGACGCATGCCATTGCTTTTACCTAGGAATGGAAAAATTTTTCGCCAAAAGCTTGTGCTTTTCGGCTAGCCGCAAAAAAAAATTGATTGGACAGCTAACTCAAGAGACGATTTCACGGGCACTTGCACAGTGAACCCAAAAATCTACCAATGTGGTGCGTAATGCTCTTCGATTAATGGCGAGCGGACACAGTAAATCGGACAAAGGTGTATTGGGCGTTCATGAAACTATTCAGAGTTAGTGACATAGACGGGTGTGATCTACCCGTGTGCATCACTAACCATTTGAACTCCTATAATGCAGCCAATAACCCGAACATGCCAACAGCAATTACCTTCAATCTCGAGGGTCCGGTAGTTCGTGCAAAAAGAGCTCGACATCGCGACAATGGGAACTAATTCGTCACGAATATTTTCGCCATGCCATAAGAAATCTCTTCGACTTGATTGCTATAACGCCTAAACAATCCATTCCGTACAGCCTATAATACAACTGCCTGTATTACCAACAATATACTTTTTTTTTCGACATATAAAATAATCGTTTTAACATACAGCATTAGTAAACTGACGATTTTATAACAACCCGGTCGCTTAGTCGTCAGTATTGAGAAAGCATTATGTATAGGATGTCCTGCGCTTTATATTCGCTATGGCTTATTTTATGCAGGCGCTGTGTGAAGAACAATTCATTCCTAACATGACTTTTTAAACATAAGCAAATAAGAGATGCTTTTGCTTGAATATTATTATACGTTTATTATTGTAAGTAATCGTTCGGGTAACTGCAACAATTCGATTACTCGTGCCTTGGCCTTAGAAGTTTCATGGCAAATGACGATTGTGCATTTAAAGAACGCGTTCAAAAATGCCATTACTGTGTAAAACCATACTCTTCGGGAAAGTATCCTTTGAGTATCTCAAACAACATATTTAAAAAACCTTCCACACAAATAATTTCTTCCAGGAACCGATGAACGTAGGAATACGCGCTGTAAGTATATATGTAGCTTAAATTATGATAGCGATTATTTAAGGAAGGTTCATGTCTTTAGTAAAATAAAAGTCATACTTTTTATTGAGGAAGACGAGACACTTAAGCTAAAAGTGTACGAAATTGCTTACTCAACGTGTGTCTTTCATATAGTAACGTTTGATATCTACAAATGTTCGTTTGTTATATAACTTCGTGATGTCTTATATAATCAGCAGCCAAAGTGTGTAAATGAGTGTTTTTTAATTAAGTTTTTTACGCTTGTTGCATTTATTTATGCTAAAATATTAATTGGAAACAAAAGTCAATGCTGTTAATCGTGATTCGCCACCGAACATTTTTGTTACTTTTACTTATTAATTACTTAATAATTACTAAGTAAGACTTCCTTTATTTTATTCGTATTTACAGTATATGTGTTATACACAATACTCAATAATCTACGCCAGAAGCACTCTTTAGACTGAGTTATTGAAAATCTTCGAGGAATGACGTCGAGAGAACTTCAATGGTTATCAGGTTCAGGGAGCGGGCTCATGAAATCGAAATGTGTCACGAAGTACTTTCCATGAAGATCCTTCGGAAGTAACCACGAAGTTCTCCGTGAAACCTGCATTTTGCAGGCCTTTCAGTCTACCACAAAAACAACATAAATCGCCAATTATTATAAACCTTTAACTACTATCTTCAAGATAACTAGGATGTAAAACAGATAGTGCCTAATTTTCCTGTGTTCTAATTCCATTTATCAATGCCTACCTATTTATAAATGCCTATTTCAACACTTATGCAGCTATTAGAGAAATAACATTTAGTGGTGTTTATGCTTCGACGCCTCAACTCCATGGGCTGGACGTCAATACATTTTCTTCAAGTCGCTTTTTCCACAATGCAAACGAGTTTTCCAAAGCAACTTTTCAAAAACCACATTTAGTTGATAGTTCTTTATGTGATCTCTGCTTTAACATTTTCTAGCATCAACGGTATGTTTCAAAAAACCCAAAGCAGCTATTTTTATGTTTACTTCCAACCTTTGCTAGATCCACTTCAGAAATGTTTTTAAATAATCTTCTGATAAAAATATTCCCCATTTTTACATATACATAGGTTCTACACTAACTCTATATTTATACCTGACATCACCGGCGCAAATGACCAGCACTGTTAATCTTCCCTCCTGAAATTTGGAGAGGATCGGCTGCGCATCAACACTCAGAAGATTCGTTTCCGAATGAGGAAGAGATGTGTAGAACTTTGTGATGGCCTCTTTTCCCACATACGGATTGCCATTCCAGATAACCTGCTGAATATTAGAAAAACGGAAGAAAATAGGCACGTACGGCTTTTTATGATTACGAAATGCAATTTGAAAGTATAGTTAAGGCAAAAAATGAATTCCGTTCAACGCAGGTGAAATATATGACAATCGATAAATTTGATCAACGATTAGTGGCTGTTTGCTATATGGCCAGCTACCGCCAAGTACCGTTCTTGCTGAGAAGTTCCACATGTAACAAGTTGTATTTTTACTAGAAAATACACTTTTCCCGTAACTTAATTTACTAATTTAGCATTTCAGCTATGCGTTTTGTTGAGCTGGCAAATGATACAGGCCATGGATTTACGTGGACTAAGCCAGGCTATTATATAGCGCCATATATGTTATATATGAATATATGTTTTCACTGTTCAGTACGCAACTTGTTTTCTTCATATATGAACCTGATAGAATAATAATATTAAATTAAAAAAAAAAAAGACATTACGCAATCATGAGATATAAAGATGAAACAACGTGATTTGGATACTGAGAGGATACGATGACGCTACTATGGGCAGACTTGTTAGATAGACTTGATAGATGTGAACACTCAAGGCAAAAAACAATGCAAAGAATTGACAAAATTATCCACCATGAATCAAGATTTTGATAGCAAAGAAAATTACAGATCTATCCACAACATTAACTTTTCCTGCAAAGCTAAATGTTCGAGTTTTACATTCGGCACGTTGAGCATCTCTTCACAGGGAGAGCTTCAGCACGAAACAAAGTGCGTCCGTGCCCGGACTCAAATCTAGATGGTGTCCCTTATATTAACAGGCTGAAGGATTTCTTCTGAAGCCATCAAGTTCATACACTGCTATAACAACGTGAACAACAAAATCATGACACTATCGAATTAACAAAAACTAATGATAATTATAGTATTACAAATATATATACTCTAATTGGATATATTATCGTGCACAATTATTTGATTACACGTCGCGCGGATGATTAGAATCTCATTAATACGAATGCTTTTAAATGAAGGGGGCTCAACTACAGATATTTTTGAAGAATATTAAATAATTCCTACTGTTTGTCAGACATGCTTAATAAAAAAATTCCAAGGCGATTATAACAATGATAAAATCTACAAATTTAGTAACTTACAGAGTCCTCTTGATAAATATTGCCAAGTAGATGTCGCTTCTCGTCAAGCGTTTTATAGAAGACCTTGGCGAAGTCCAAGCCCGCCTTGGAAGCTGTAGAAATAGGGTCCTTTTGCGACATTTTGTTAAATATCCAGAATCTCGCGCTGCTAATAGATAAAATCAAGCACGTTTTCCACTTGTGAAAATTGCTCTTACTTTATAGCGTTTTGGTAATGTGGATTGGAACAACCAGTCCACACGTTCTATTAACGCTAAATCTGCACCCAACAGCTGACTGAAGTATTAAGAGCAGAACTCTTGAAAGAAGAATCCTGGTAGAGGGAAAGTTTGAATGCTGCCCGCGCTAATTCACGGCCGATCTGGATCCTTCCTTCATGTCCTTACCTACTGGTTATTTATGCCTAACGCCTTAAGTAGCAGGCGTAAAACACGAAAACATTATATCTGTACCTTGTCAATCCGTTCTCAGATATAGTCTAGCATGCAGGCCTAGGTGGCAATTGTAGTATTCCTATGATGGTACAGTGATAACGTATTTGCCTGCTACACTTCAAGGCTTATGGTAATTCAAGTCCGGTAGTGTAAACCAGCAGTCTAGAGCAATGCTTAGTGCCAGTACCTATTTACTAAATGAACTGTTTACTAAACCAGAACAATTTACTAAATGGCACGTATCGCAGTTGATTTAAGTTAATAATAACAATATCACTGCTAAGTATTGGATTTCCGCATAAACCGTAGGCGTTATGAACATATATGTAGTTAGATTCTGCTGCTTATGATAACAATAATAATCTGCATATATTTTTTTTTGTCTACAGCACGCCTAGGGTGCTTCACAGCTCCCGACTCTAAAGTTTCTTTGGACACTGCAATAAGACTGTCATTTGTGCGCGTTAGATTTTATCAATTAATGATTGGCATCTCTGCGTAGATGAGCTCACGATCCGAAAAACACCATTTTGTGGCGAATACTTGGGCTATTCCGCGTCCCGTCATTTTTCCAGACGAATATCTGAACTTTGGTGCGATTGGCCAGATTGGCCGGCTGTTACGTACTTGCTTATCTTTTGAGATTAGCATTCTTGATGAGTATATAGTAGTGTAAGAAATATAGCTGCGACAGTCACCCAGATAATGTTTGATTTTCATTTGAGTATTATAATAACGATTTAATGCCTTATTAATCACTGACTAATAATTGATATCCCGCAGGCGTAATTAGAAAGGCATTTGTTCTCTTATACGCGTGATCATGTAACTTTGAATGCTGCCGTACTTGTCGGGTCCTTGCAATCAATTCTATAGAAGATTGAGGTATTGCGCAAATGTTCGTTTCATCAGTGAGGAACTTTGGGGCCACGTCATATCAAAAGAGTACACAAACCTGGCCGGTCCGGCTCTTACCCTCACAATAATAGTCGATAGGCCGGAGATGCGCTTTTAAACTGCTGGCTTTGATGGGAAGCAATTTCATTTGCTTACCTGCGTGTAATAATGTGAAGGTCTGCGCAAGCCGAACGTGCAGGAAATTATGAAGCAAGAAAATTGACCATTATTGATTTATTAACTATCATTTGTTATAGTTTCAATCTGCCTGTGTCCTAAGGGAAAAACGAATAATTATACTATCATTGATAGCTGCCAATATCAGCGGATCTCTACATTATGGAGAAGTTAATGCCGTTAGTGACAAATACTGCGATGGCAGTTCTGTGTTATGTGTACACGAAGCAAGCAATTAAAACATTTGCGCCGATGTTCGTTGAACGGGGTTTATTCGGAATCGACCTTTGTAAATCTTCAGGAGATAAAATAGCCGAGTCTCTTGGTGTTATATCGGCAACATGTTTTCTTGTACAGGTGAGTGCGATACATGATCTTCAGGTTGTCGCTAATTTAACATGGCTTGGGGTTTGTGAAGGTGGCTTCATAACTCTAGAGAACTAACGCCACGATACGCTGACGTATTTTATAACTCAGCTTGTCATTGATGAGGATGTACTCTTGAAATTGAGGAATCCCCCATACAGATCTTGTTTTTTATTTTAGTTTGACATTGGTTGTAAGTGCTTCTCGGTACACTTCACAACTTTTCAACGTTTATCTGCGGGGCATTATACTGAATTTCATGCTCGTTTATTGACAGATGATATCCTAATATATGAGTGACCTGCTATTAAACAATTTTTTTTTTAATTTTCTGTCCGCGACTCGCTCAGAATGAAGTCAGTCCCCTCATTTATGAGAGCATTGGCACCATATAACTCAATATGCTTCATTCTCACAGCCTTCATAAAACACTATGTTATTTTCTGCTTGCAAATTTATTAATCTAATACAAATTTTATGCATGCTTCTAATAATTTTACTTCTATTTTGCGTTCTCTACGCCAGCTATCTGAAGTTTAACTAAAGGTCGGAAGATTTATCTTATCTTTATAATATATTATTCTGAGAATTCGGATCCAACTTAGATTTTATGCATTTCCATTATCCAAGAGGGCTTGTTTGCACGTATGCCATATTTGTGTATTGATTTCCAAAGCTAGTTTGTATAAATCATTTTCGTTAGAAGTTATTAATTTCATTCGACGATTACACTGATATTTTCATGCGCTATAGTAGCTTGTGGTAGGTTGAGCCATTCAACGATTGCTATCTTTCTCTCGTTGGCCAACTAAACGGTGTACGTATGACTTTTAGGATGAGAACATTTCTATGCGCCATGCTTAACTAAAATCTTTTGGCTCAATATCCGTCGAAGGGGCAATCACTAAAAATACAATTCAAATGGTTTATGTTATTTAACGTTCGCGTAGCGATATCGTTCATGCGATGAAATGTACATACGAATTAAATGGGATGAAATACGATTCAACCGGTAATAGAGAGGTCAGAATGGAGCTGGCGCCAAGTTATTGTATATTTTGCTGCTTAAAATATGACGTCGTTGCCATCTTAAACTTTTATTAAGTTGATATTAGTATTTGTTCACTGTAGCAGCTGCTGAGAAGCGGCTTTTTCTAACGTTGTTGTGCTCACCTGTATGCACTATATTATCACTGGATAGGTAAGCAAAGAACGAGGATAGAATCAAGTTAAATCCTTTTTATTTTTTTACTGATAATTATCCACTAATTCAAAGTTCTTAAAAATATTTGGCTTTTATCGACTTGTATTAAGGTAATATAAAAATGTTTCGGTGATGGATTAAATGGTAGCATAGGTTGTGCCATAAGAGGGTTGCACAAGAAGATCTTGTGCTCGAATCTAGGTATACGTGCAAAACATAATGAGACATTTCTCACAAAAAAATCTAAACAAAAGAAATTCGTATACATATTTATTAACGTGCGATACTCCACAAAGGTGGAAAAAAGCTAAGAAACGATAAAGCATGAGAGTTTTTCTTAAACACACTTTTAGAGCTCTTGTTTCAGCCAGGATTTTCGCGAGCAGTATCACAGAAAAATGATGGGTAAAACCTGATACCTTATCACGTTTTTAGAGAAGCCTGTCGCAGAAAAGAAAGAATTACTTTTGAAGAGGCACAAACGCTACCAAAATGCCAACAGTGCCGGGAAAACACGTTCAAACGTGGCTATGCAGCCGAGTGCACGTGCTTCTCTTCTATAGCAGTCCCTCCCGTAAGGTTTCTAGAGCCGGAAGCTGTGCTACGCTCCTGACCTAGGGTAGGCCAAGCGAAAAACTTTATATAT